CATTTTATCAGAGAGAAGGTTATCACAGGGGAAGTGTGTACTCCCTATGTCAGCTCTGAGGATCAACTTGCAGACATCTTTACAAAAGGACTACACCACTCACGACATCATGATTTATGTTACAAGTTGGGCATGATTGGCATCTATATCCCAACTTGAGGGGGAGTGTTAACAGCTGTTATTTTTTCCTATGTATAGTACCGCAGGTRTACTATTGTACTTTTACTCTTTTTTATTTTAGTTGCTGTCACCCTAGTATATATATTAAAAAGGCTGTGCCGCCAGCAGTATCTTTTTGCTCTCAGTTCTCTCTTCTCTATTCTTCTCTCTCTTTTCTCTCTTCTTCCATTCTTCTCTCCTGCATAACAGGAGGAAATTTAAAGGTTCAAACAAAGGTAATCTAGTGCATGTGACCAAAGCTTTTTGTGTTTGGAGGGGGTAATTAGTGCAGGTCCTCGCAACGTATTCCAAAGGATCTATAAGAGATTGGGGGTGGGAGTTAAAGTGAGAAATAAAAGGATTGCAGAAAACAAAGTCTTCAGGTAAAGGAAATCCATGGTAGGCATGAAGGAATTGGGGGAAATTCAAGAGAACCAGGTGGTGGAAGATGAAATTAGTTTAGAAGACTTGGAGATTCAAGAGGAGGCAGAAGTTTCGGTTGATCAAGCAAGGCTGGATGAGAGAAGAGTGGTCAATTTGGAAAAAAGTTGTTGATGTGGAGATTCAAGTTAGCAAGACAGTGGAAAACAAGGAGGAAGTGGAATTCGAAGAAGTGGTGATTGTTTGAGGTGTTGTTTTCAAGCTGATAGTCATGGTTTAAGGGGTTATTCTGGATTTTAGGCTATTTTTTTTATCAGTAACAGTGAAATTTTATTAATGATAAAAACAGGATTACAAAGAGATGGAGCTAAAAAGTCTCAACTCCATCTACCCAAGAAACTTTCTGATCGTGTACTGATTACAAAACAGCCCAGAATAATGTGTCTCTATTTACCCCTTGCCTAGCTAGACCGTCAACCAATGCATTTACACTTCTCTTAATCCAATTACATTGAATTTCCATGTCCTTGGTTAACCACTTATACTTCCTCTTTTCATTGCTGTATTTCCACATCATAGCACTGTCCTCTGATAGCCATTTCACCACCATTTCAGAATCACCTTCTATAAACACCTTTTTGATCTTCATTTCCTTGACCCTTTGAATCCCTTCAATAGCTCCAAAAATCTCAGCCCTCAATGAGTCTCCCACCCCAATCAGCCCAGAGTACATGGCTAACAGGTTTCCTGTTCCATCCCTTATCACACCTCCAATTCCAAAAGGCCCTGGGTTGCCTATGCTGCTTACATCAAAATTCAGTTTGGTGAATCCAATAGGTGGAGGAGTCCAGCAAGCTTTTGCTAACTTTCTACATAAGCCTGAATCTGCAATCTCCTTCCAATTCCTTAACAGCTCATCAACTGAGAACACTTTGAACAGCCCCAATGTTCTCAACCATTGTATTAGTCTAATGTGTATGATCTCCAAGATTTCTTCCACACCTCTCTCTTTACTTGATAAGATCCTTGAGTTCCTCTCCTCCCACACTGTCCAACAGACTGCAGCTCTACCACACCTCCACATGATTTTAGCCCTTTTAGTTGGCCAATTAGGCATGGAAGAAAATAAGCTTGGAACATTCAAAGGGGGAGTCCACCTGCATCCAAACAAAGAAGTAAACCATACCCAAATAGTTTTAACAAACTGACAAGATATTAGTAAGTGATATCCGGACAGACTTACAGAGAACACACCAGTGAGGAGACAAGCAGTTGTTGGGTCTTTTCCTTTGGAGTAGATCCCCTGTATTAACTCTTCCCAGGAATGCTTCCCAACAAAAACTCCCAACCTTAGGAGGTATAGGTCGACACCACACTTTTTTAACAGGGAAGGAAAAGCCAGTGGGATGAGAGGGTAACAATGCTTTGAAAAAGGAGGCACAAGTATAGGAACCCGAGGGGGTGAGTGTCCAAATTCTGCTATTTGCTTTAGATGGCTCAATAAATACCCCTTCAAGGATAGATAGTAAGGCTATAGTATAGGCAAATTCTGTGTCCCTAACACCTCTTCTCAAACTTAGATTCCAACCAACCCCAGAAGGTGAATTGGATGGAACAAGAAAGGAAGAAATTGGTTCATTCTTGAGGGAAGACAAAGCAAAAAGGCCTGGAAATTGATCTTTCAGAGGGGAGTCCCCAACCCAAACTTGTTCCCAGGATTTGATAAGGTTACCAGAGTGCAAGTCATACCTAATCCATGGAGAGAATAAAGGCAAGATGGCTTGAATGGCTCTCCAAGGGGAAGCTCTTGTAGCCCTTGCTAGAATTCCTGAATCCCATCCATTATCTACCAGTCCATGTATACTTCCTACCACCTTAGCCCACAACCTATCTTTCTCCAGTGAGAATCTCTATAACCATTTTCCTAGTAGTGCCAGATTCCTAGTCCTAATATTACCAATACCGAACCCTCCCTCCTCTTTACCTCTACAGACCGCCTCCCATTTGACCCTATGGTCCCTCTTCTCCTCCCCTGGTTCCCACAGAAAATCCCTCATTAACTTTTCCAATCTATTAGCAACCTTCACCGGTATCCTAAAAACTGACATAAAGTATACAGGAAGGTTAGCCAACGTAGACCTAATTAAGGTGATTCTCCCTCCAAGAAACAAATAATTTCTTTTCTAGTTGGCCAGCCTCTTTTCAAATCTCTCCACAACAGGGGCCCAAAAATCATCTCTTGAGGATTATCTCCCAAAGGTAAGCCCAGGTAGTTTAATGGCCAATTAGACACTGCACATCCCAAAATATCTGCATACTCCCCCATCTCCCCTTCCCCCATATTGACTCCAACTATACAACTTTTTTCAAAGTTCACCTTAAGATTTGACATCTATTCAAAGAGTTGTATAGAGAGTTTCAAATTTTTAATCCAATTGATATCCCCACCTTCACAAAATAGAATTGTATCATCTGCAAATTGTAGATGTGTAAGTGGTACATTATCCCTTCCAACTCTCTACCCTCTTATAAGCTCCATGGAGTCTGCTTTAGATATCAACCCCCCCAGCCCTTCAGCTACCAATGTAAACAAAAAGGGGGATAGAGGGTCTCCTTGTCTAATCCCCCTCAAAGCTGGGAAATAATCCACCACTGTCCCATTCACCAAGATAGAATAATGACAGTCCTTAATGCATCCCTTCACCCAATTGCACCAGATATCTCCAAACCCAAAATTCATCATCACCTCCAATAGAAAGGACCAATCAACCATATCATAAGCCCTTTCCAGATCTAGTTTGCAGACCACTCCTCTTCTCCTGGATCTCTTGTAATCCTCCAAACTCTTATTTGCTACAAGTATCTGGTTTGTTATTTGTCTCCCCCTCACAAAGGCTCCTTGATTGTTCGAGATGATAGATGTAGCAGTGTAGCACCTTTCTGATTCTAATTGACAGCACCTTCGTGATGATCTTATAGAGGCTGTTAATTAGACTGATCGGCCTGTAGTCCTTTGGGTGGCTTGCCTTACTTTTCTTGGGAACTAAAGCAATGAATGTGGAGTTTAGCCCCGGGTTAATCACTCCTCTTTTATGGAATTCATCAAATACCAACAATATATCCTCCTTTAGAATCTCCCAACAATCTTGGTAGAAAGCCATCGTAAAACCATCTGGGCCCGGTGCCTTTGATCTATCCATCGAAAATACTGCCTCATTTATTTCTTCCAACTCAAATTTTTTCTCCAACCAATCCCTCTCTTCTCTCTTCAAAGTTGGCCAATCCAAGCCCTCCAACCATACCTTATTATTCAGTGGCCTTCTATATATGCTCCTAAAGTGACCTGCAAATGCTCCCACTATTTCTCTCTGGCTTGTGACTATTTCCCCTATACAAAGTTTGTAAAGGTAGGGGAAGGAAGGGAAAGATATCAAAACCTATACAAAGTTCTTAAARGTTTCCTTGCCTTTCCTTTCTTTTCCCTACTCTTTCCTTCAAACCAAACATAGCCTTAGAGTGCAAGTTTTGCTGTGGTTCTTGAAGGCTTGTCTTGGGTCTGGAGTTATTCAGATGTTGTATTTGTTATTTTGTTCGGGGGTGGGGGTGCTTGGTTGTCCTCAAGGGGGTTGATTGGTTTTGGTTTGTTATTTTGCTGGGTGATATCTTATCACCTTGTAACGTTTTTTCTTTTTTAATAAATTTCCTTTTTATTATCAAAAAAAGTATGATAAAAAGAATATGGTTACCATCCATTCAGATCAACCTTGCTCTCTTGAGCCTGCATGAAAGCTATGTATACGGTTATACACACACCTGTATTGTAGTGGTTTGTAAACTTTGCTTTTTCATTTTGCGACTCTGATGACAACTGTGCTTCTGTCCAATGCAGTAATGTTGCTGGCTTTATCTATATCACAGATATTGACATCCAGAGGTATGAGCTTTTGCCACTTTCTTGGTTGCATTTATAATGTATTTGCTGTAACTTAATAATGATTATGTGCAGGAAAAAAATTACGTACCTTGCACCATCTGCTGGGGAACTACCGAGTAGATTCTTGATAGTTGGTAGTTTGACATGGCTGGAGACCTAAAATCTCTGGGAATGGCAAAACCAATTTTTCAGCTACGACCTTGGTGTCAATTGTTCACTATTAATTGATCTCTTCTTGTGCTAGGCAGCTGGTACCCCCTTTCCTCTGCTTTATGACAGTATTTTTGATCGTGTAGTGAGACTTCAACCATGAAAGGCTTTAGCCAGTGTAAGCTGGACTTGTTTTTGGTTGCTTGGCGGTTCATCTTTGGCTTGTACCTATAGACTGATTTTACTAACTAACATCCAAGGTATCTGTAAATATTTTTCTGATATGTATTTGCTTTCCCTGCTATCAATTTTCTTTAGGGTTCGACTATGATATACCGGAAAAACATGATACTGGAAAAGTTTAGAGCCAATCATCCGGTGTCATAAAAGAGGTGGCCAATCAAGCGCTATTCGTGACAATTCACGGGGGTGCATTGATTGGTCAAAGCTCTTCGGGTATCGTAGCTTTTTCCTTTTTCTATATCTATATATACTTGCAAAATTTTCATTCATACCAATATACAAAAAGCAGGCAAAATGAATTCATGTATTTCAGATTGTTAATAATTTGGTTCATATGTTTAGAATCCACCACCTAGGTGTGTAGGCGCCCCGTGATCGTCTAGTCTCGTCTTGGTACCTTGAAAACTATGCAATCAGTTATGATTGTACGTTACATTGATGACTTAAAAAATCACTTATTTTTAGTAGAGGCTGCCATGCTGATAATCGAATTCCAGTTCTACATGTTAAAAGTTTAATTACTTAAAATGGAAAAGCTTTTCTGGATAAGGGTAAGTGGAAAACTAGATGATTGTTAAATAATCTACATCGCATGGGATTTGATTCAAGGACTGTTTCCGTCGTTTAGTGTTCTTTGACCAAGCCTGTTTGGCATGATTGTTGTTTGCCAAGCTAACTTTTGAAAAAATGCTTTTTTAAGGAATAAGGGGTGCCTTTTTGAACTGTCATGTGTCATCCCCACTTTTTCTTGTTTCAACATATAAGCCTGAAGGAGAAGCATTTCCGAGAGAATCACTTTATAACCACAACCAAAAAAAAAAAAAAAAAGTAGATTTTCAATTTCCATAGCTTGATTGGGCATCACGTGAAATAGAATTCTTTCACCTTCGCATAGTATTTGAATTTTGAACTTTGTTCTTCCTCTCTTCACTTGTGTATAATTAACTGTGTACATCTTTCTCTCTATCTCTCTCTGAGAACCCAAAAGTTAAAAAAAGGGTCCACTTGTCGAAACCCTAAAATGCATCATTCTAAATTTTATAATATATTGTTTGTTTTAATCAGTTTTCAAATTTCTATTTAATTTAATTAGATGGACCTAACACGTGCAAGGTGGAATGACTAAACGGGGAAGAATGCAAAAAAGATCTCTCTAGACTCTAGCAGTCATCCAATATTATTAAAAAGGGGAGAAAAATAAACGATAATCTCAAACTTCTCAAGAGGGTAATGAAACTTGGAATTGAAAACAAAGTCCAAAACATAAGGGTCCACCAGTAATAGTGTAATACAAATATTGAAACATACATGGCGCAATTATGTGGGGGCCATCAACTAAAGTTTTACAATTTGAAGTGGAATTATATTATTTCGTTTCATCAGAGGATAGAGGTGGAGCTAATATTTTTTAATCACAAGTTTACAACAAAAGGATGATTGACGAGTCACTTAAAATATATAAGAGAGAGTAGAGTGACAATCACAATCTTGTGTGGAATAACAAGCCTAAACGTGCTTGTCACTCACTGGCTCCCATTTTGACAATATCAAAATCTTTTTATTAGACTCTGAATTTATTTTTTTTAGCCAATAGGAGAGAAATAAATCATGGGTCATATGATGTATTCAATAGACTGGGGCCCCATGACTTACTATCCCTAACACATTATCAGAAAGCTGGATCCAGCAATCATTAGGGAGATGCACGAACTGAAGATTTTTTTTTTCAACATTACTGTATTTGCTGTGTGCTTTTTAATAATCTAGCTTTGTCTTGTAGTGAAAAATAAATAAACGTTATTGCCTTTGAAAGTTCCACACATTAATGGTTGTTTCTAATATCAATATCAAAACCCATCAAAGTATCAAACAAAGATGGCTCGTTAGGGTGGTGTTCATTACTTTATTATCTCTATAATTCATCTTACTTTAGAAAACGCCATGGTGTATGGATGTTTTTTTTTTTTTTAATTGTTTTCTGTTTTACAACACACACAAAAGAGTTTGGATTTTCTCCTCACACCAATCTCACGGAACTTTGGAGTCGCACATTCAGAACATTACCGTACTTGTAAGGTATCATTTTTAGGGAAATGTTTCCAATGCATGGCTGTAATATACTGTGAGACACGCTCTGTGGGGAGCAGATCAGAATTCCAAACAATAGGGGAGGGGGTTGCCAATGTGAATGGTTTTGCTTACAAGCCACCCCACAACATGCAGCAAACCACCATGGTGTTGTGACTTGTGAGTTTCATAACACAGTTTCAAACCAACAATGGTAGGGTCCAGTGGTTTGAAATACACCACACCTTTTTTAAGACCAAGGTACAAAACACTTCATAAGTTTTCAAGCTCATTTAGGCTGTATTTGCAACCATTGCCGTTTTTTCCTGAAACATTTGGGGTTCATCAATACATACTGGCAAGAACTATGAATAGTCCTGTCACATAGGGAGTCGATTCAACTAAAAAATGTATGTGGGGGACAGATCATTGCCGTTTAGAGTTGAAATGTCAAATTTGACAGTTCAAGTATAAACAACAATTTGTATTCATCCATCCAAAACATTTTTATGGAAAAAACGTCTCGGAAATTTGTATTAGCCGACCCCAAACATGTCAGGTAGAAATGATAGTGGTACCAAACACAATGTTAGTGTAAAAATTGGATGATGACAATATTAGAGTAGACAATGGCTCACCTTACCTCAACATTTAGTCTTTTTCCCATGGTTTTCAAAACCAGACCTTACTGGAAAACCGGGAATCGGTCAGGTGATCAGTTTCGTTTTTTTTTTTTTAAACCGGATTTTTACCAAAAAAACGTTGCTTTGGTCAGCAAACCATTGATCCAGGTGGTTGAACCATTCAAACCGTTCAACGGTTTTGACCTTTCTTTTTATTTTTTTTGTCAAAACGGGCCAACCGTTCGACCTGGAAACCGAACCCCTTACCAGTTCATTCTCCAGGTCGGTTTTAAAAACATTGCTTTTTCCCCTTTTTCATCGTCTGTAATTTTGCATTAATAACCAGTTTAGGTTTGTTCACAGACCAGGCTTTGGGCCAAACCCCTTCAAATTTTAGCAAAAGCCAAGCCCGAACCTGGCCCATGAAGAGATCTAAACCAGTTGTAAGGAGGTTTTTGCAATGAACACCATTTTCTTACATTACGTCTTAATTCAATTCATCATATCACATGTCATGCCTTCATTTTGAAAAAACAACATATCCATCTATTGGTCTATATCTATGTACCGTATGATGAAGATATTTGCCTTGGTTTTGATGCAGATTATAAAAGTTAAATTACTGTATCATTTCATGTAAGGCTAACATTTGTAGTTTTACCATTTTAATTTTTTTCTTGCATATGTGTATTGCCTGTGCCTTTTATATTAGCTTTCTTTTAGATTTCATTTATAATTGTAAAAAGGAAAAAAACTATGATACAGAAAAGACATGGTATCGGAAGAGCTTAGGCCAATCAAAGCACCCCCTGTGAGTTTTGATGAAAATACAACTTGATTGGTCATCTCTTTTATTATACCCTTTTATTGGCTGTAAGTTTTTCTAATATCATGTCTTTCCGATATCATAGTCAAACCTTTATAAAATGTGAGAAATAATTATACTAGTTTTATCAAAATTTTTTTCACCAAAAAAGTTTTATCAACTTTTTAGTTTTTCTTTCTCCATCAATTCTCCTTGGTTTATTTATTGAGCTATCATGGCCTCTATTATGAATTATCTTGAAAACATGCCCCACTTATTTTTTTTTTTGTTTTATTTGGTATTAACCCCACTTAATTATAAACATGCTTGTGCATTCATTACATAAAATGTAAAGTGGCCTCTTCCCATTGATTATACCAGCCTACCAGGGAGCAAGGGTGTCAATGGACTGGTTTTGGATTGGATCTCGTCCAGTCCAAAATCATTTTGGACGGATTGGACAGACCAACAAGACATATTGGATTAGACCGATTCGGTCCAAAATATTTATTAGATTGGATTGGACCTGGTCCGTCCGTAGTAAATTTATATTGGTTTGGGTTGGATTAAGTCAATATCTGCTCCATTGATATAAGATAAGAATAAATGTGTCTATAGACTGGGTTTGTGTTAAAGCCAATTTAAATCAAAATAATTTAAACAGATTGGACAGTTCAGACATTAAATTGGACCGACCTAAATTGGTCCAAAACATTCATTGGACTGAATTAGACCTGATCCATTTATAATGGACTCACATTAGACTGAATCGGATTGGACCAAATCCAATCCAATTGACACCCTTACCAGGGAGAGGGCCACTCTGAAATAAATGATCTATTCAGCTTTTGAAATTCTTCAATAAGGTTAAATTATTATATCAGAAAAGACTATTTTATAACTGGTATCATGAAAGTGGCAATGAATTATGTGGTATTCATAAAAATTGCTTGGAGGGTTTTGATTGGTCAAAGATATTTCAGTATCATACCTTTTTGCCATCATAGAATGAAAATACATGATAAAAATACAGAAAAACCATTTCAACTCAATTGAAGTAACGAGGGGGTGTGGGTAAATTTGGATCCTGTAACCATTGACCAAGTATCCTACTCCATTAACCATTGTTAAATGGACACATGACTGTTATAGCCTATAGGGGTGTTTGTTGTAATTCTCCAATAACAGTAAACTACCACCACATATATATATATATATATTAGATATGCCCATACTTCATTTACAAGGTGGACCACATATGCTATTTTGGTCAGTGGTCAGATGGGCTCTCAGCATCAATCTAATAACTGTCTAAGAATTATCTAGATTCTTTTTAAAATTATAATTTTAAATTACAAAAACATCCTTATATGACTCTAGTTTAGCTTTTTTTTTTTCCATGAAAAATAGTTTAGCTTATTTTTTATGCATGGACAACTAGACCTGTTAACGGGCTGGGCTTTGGATCCGCTTTTACACTGTTTTGAGTTCGGGCTTCAAGCTAGGTTCATTAGAATTTTGACAAAAGCTAAGCTCGAGCCCGACCTATAAATAAGTTTATGGACAACAAATAAAATTGCAAATAAAGTTAGAAAGAAATTGAAGAAGAAAGAGGACGGGAAGAAATGAATTTATGAATTTAGCATCAACTTGGCATTTTTCTAAGAGGAGTCATGGGATCTAACCTGTACATGCCCAGTTCTCACTCCATGAGCTCCCCCTATAATGTGTTATGTAATACTGAACAAATAGAGAGATTCTAGGAAGGTTATTTTGGTCAAACAACTATACAAAATATATATATTTTTCAATACTCTACTACTTTGAACAAAATGGGAATGTTAGCCTGGCATGCAATTAATGTATGCCATTGTCATCATCTCAGCTTCGTCCTAACGGTCATCTACACGAATCCTATTTTGTTCAATGCCATGTCGATGGTCTGATAATATTATTCAGTAAAGGATGAGGCTATCCCATATCCCCATTTGGTGGTGTAATACTCTGCGTTGCATAAATACAAAAACAACATCTATTATCTTGTGTACTACACCAAATGCATAACATTGCTTTGTTGTTTAGTGAGCATTTGATACGTACATGGTATGTTGGAGCGTAGCATTTGATTCACTAAGGGGGCGTTTTACAGCATGAATGTTTTTGTTTTCATTTGTTTTTGATATTGTCACGTAAAAAAAAATATAAAAACATGTTCTTGAAATCCGTTTTTGATTTTAAAGGGAAAAATAAATCGGTTTTGTTTCAAAAAATAATACATGCTTTTAAAACCAACAAAACATTGTTTTTTAAAACAAAAACTAATTTCCTAGTATAGAAATTATATGATTTTACAACATGATGTTGAATAGTCAAATAACATGTTTTTGAAACCAGATTCAATAGCATGTCTTTTGTGTTTTTGTTTTAAGAAACAATCTAATTTCAAACAAGATAGTTTTGATTTGTTTTTGGTAGGGGTGTCAATGTATGGACTGGTTTTGGATTGGACCCCGTCTAAATCAAAATCAATTTTGACGAATTGGATGGACCAACAAGACATATTGAATTGGATTAGTCCAGACTTAATGGTCTAAAGTATTTATTGAATTGGACTGGGCCTGGTCCATCGGTAATGAATTTATATTGGATTGGGTTGGATTGAGCCAATCTTTGGTCCATTGATAGAAGATAGGAATATAGGTGTCAATCGACCATGTTTGCAGTGGACTTACATTAGACTGGATCGGATTGAACCAAATCCAGTCCAATTGACATGCCTAGTTTTTGGAACCGGCAACAAGGAAAACTATCCACATTATAAAGTGCCCCTTAAATGGTCAATTTTGAGGCAGTGTTTTAGAATCTCGTTAGAAAGGTTGAACTATCTTTCTTCTTAGGTAGATGGAGGCTTTTTTTTTTTTTTTGATGAAACGGTTTATGAAGCATTGATTTAGCAGATGTTTGGCAATGCGAATGATCTGTTTTCTAAAATAAACAATTGTTACATGGGCAAAATGTATTGTTTTTGTTGATATGGCAGTTATTTATTTTTTTGACAAAAAACAAAAAAGCAGTTTCATTAAATGATACAGTTGCTTTGTTTTAAAAAGCAAATCCATTCACATTAAAAACACCTTTTCATTCCTCAAATACCCCATACATAAAAATTAAAACATTTCAAGTTTTTAATGTTTATTTAAAATCAAATAGCATTTTTTCAATAAACGCCTAGAGAACCAAACATCACCTAAATGGCACACCATCTGAGTTAACAAATTCATTGACCAAATCAACCATTTTTTTTCTTGGCAAAAACGGTTCCGAAGTTGATGGGATCCATAATTGCAACCAGGTCACTGGTCCAATCGATCAGGTTGATAACAGCTTAAAAGCATTGCTGTGAAGCTGTTTGATAGTGGCTGAAATGGTTGAATTAAAGAACTTCGTTATGTTATTTCCTCTGCTGATTTGTCCTATCTGCTTGTTTTGCTGTTTGGTTAATAAAATTGTTATTTATCATAACAACAATAATAATTATTATAATATATTCATTGTTTTTCTCTCTTAATTATTATATAAGCCCAATTGTTTTATTGTATAATAATTAATTAATTAATTAATTATTTACTAAAACACAAAAGTAATAAGCTCCATTCAGTACAATCACATCAACCATGGTCCCCTGTTTCTACCACATAATCTAAATTGTTCATTACCCAAATGGCTCTCAAAATAATCCATTTCATTATCACGCTCAGCTGAGTTTCGTTTGGGCCATCTAATTTTTGACAAACTAACCACTGAGATCACAGGGGTTTAATAGGGTTATCCAAACACCCCACAGGGGTGCAGACAATCTCCTGGAACACGTCAATCTCTGATCCATTGATGATGGTTAAAATGCTAGAGAAGGCGAGTTAACTCCTCACGAGTCGGGACTACGAAAGATATCGTGCTCCCTGTTGTTCAGAGTAAATCCTGTGCTATTTATTGTACTACTAGTTCCCATATTTGCACAAACCCACTTTTCCTTCAATAACAAGACGACAGACCTTAAATAGGGGTATTTGTGAAAATATACGGAATTAGGGGGTGATTATTTTTATTCTTTTGCTTTTAAAGGCACAGAACCAGCCCAACACGTGGGGCTAAAACCCCTAAAAACTGTTACTTTATTTATTGTTTGAGCACAGTCCTTAAATTAATAAGGACAAAATGTAAATAGGGGCATTACCCAAAATTCGTGGTGTTTGTTCTGTTCTGAAGCCATTGGATTGACACGTGTCCATTCCAATGGGTGTTTACGTAATTTGATAGGGTGTTTAGTAAATTATTTTACCTGCACACATGGAAAAGCATTGCATATTTGCATTGGTGAATGGTGAGAGTCTGAGAGAGCAGGAATTTTTCCGGAAAATATTTGTTTTTTTAGGCTTTAGGAGTAATTTAATGGAAAATAGAATAAAAAAAAGAGGGAAAAAAATCTCGGAAAAAGAACGTTTGTGTCCGGAACATGCTTGTCACTGTTGCAAAGGCGAGGCATTAACGATGAGAAGTTGAGAACGGCCAACCCCGGTTGGCTAAATTCCTCTCTCTCTCTCTCTCTCTGTTGCCCGAGCTGCCCGCGTTTTCCGCTTCCACCTGTGCCCGAGGTCCGAGCTGCCCGTTCTTTTGCTCCTTTTCCCTCTTTCTCATTCATCGGCCCTTTCGCTCCCTGGTTCTTAGTCTCTATATCTCTTTTTGGACGCACACTTATTCTCTTTCATGCTGCTTTTCTCTCATCCTTCAGTGGCTGCGAAAGCTACCTGTACGATCGACCCTCCATTTTTTGTTGTTTCGGGCAGGTAAACTCGTCTGCCCGTTTTCTTCGGGCAACTCGATTTGCTTTTGTAATCCGTAGTCTTCAGTAGACTGGGGAAAATTCTGATAAGAGATAATTGGAGTAGTTTTTTTTTTCTTTTGCTCTGAACTGGTCAGCTTCTATTTATTACTTCATTTTTTAGGGTTTTCGGAGTTCTCAGTGAACTTTTTTTTGGCGGGTTTCGAGCTGATTCATCCAGTGTTAGCCAGACAATTCGCATGCTTCTGAGTTTTGTTTGGAGGGATAGTTCGTGATCTGCGTTTATTTGGGGTTCTGCCTGATAGATTTCTCTACTGGGTTTGACTGGTATCAAACGGAAGGATCTGAAAAAGGAACGATTTTTGTTTCCAGCGACTTTGCATGTTGTGATCTTTGTTGCTTTTTGGCATCTGAGACTTCCGTTTTGACTCCCTGAAGTGCCTGTCAAAGAGGACTTATTGTTTTAGCTTTTGAGGTGGTTTCCTAGTTTCCGCCAGTGGGTTTGGATATCTGAGCTTGCAAAGGCTGATTAGGAACGGGCGCTGTTCGATAGGTTTGTTGTAGTCGAGATATGAACTGTTGATTTAAAACTTCATAACGATGGGAGAGGGTCCTGATGCTATTCAGGCGGAGTCTTGGGATGTGGGGAAATCAAAGGGAAAGAAGAAGAAGAAAGAAGGTAAAGCCGAGGAACCTGGTTGTTGGTTTAAGCTCAGGCTTATGGGTTCTTGCATCTCTTCAAGATCCAAAGTGGATACCTCCATAAGCGGTACTAGTACTCATTATGGTAATCATTTCTGTTTATGGAAAAAATTCTATTTCAACAATGTTCTGGAAATTCTTTGGCATTTTAGGCGTATTTCTTTACTTGGATACTTAAGTTCTTATTAAATTGTACTGAACTTATGAAGAACTTTGGTCTTACTGCATGCTTAATAGGCGCTGTTTCTGTTATGCCTTTGTCGATGTTTGTTGGCATAATTTGTTGATTACAACCATTCTGTCCCCTTTCCCATTATTCCCTGTTCTTTTCAGTAAGAAAGATCTTGCGCTTCTAGGAATTTCATTACTTGGCATCATTCATCTTTTGTCTGGGAATGTTTGAATATAAAAATATAAAAAGATAAAAAGAGAGGTTTTCCTCAGTGGGTTTGAAGCTGGGATATTTTGATTATTTTCCATTGTGGTTCTTTCTAAAAATTGTCTTTTATTAATTTTCTCATGATGCTCCTTTGCTAACTCCAGTCCACAAATGGCATTTGCTACAATTTCTCATGGTTCAACATATATGAAATGTTTATCTTCAGTGATTAGCAGAGTTAGATAAGCTTGTTTTATTGCAATTTATTTATTACTTTAATCCTGTCTTTGGATCAGCGGAAAGTAAATCCACAAATGATACTAGCAGAGATCAACCAGTTGCTCCAGTAGTCTCCTCTTCAACCACTAGCAATGGTGGGAGTATTCCATCCACTCCCAAAGTGGGCGAGGATCTGAAAGTTGCTTCCCAGCTTCGAAGGTTTACCTTTAATGAGCTTAAGGCTGCAACAAGAAATTTTAGACCAGAGAGTCTTCTTGGTGAGGGTGGATTTGGTTGTGTTTTCAAGGGATGGATTGAGGAGAATGGAACTGCTCCTGTAAAACCTGGCACAGGGCTAACTGTTGCAGTTAAAACCCTTAATCATGATGGACTTCAGGGCCATAAAGAGTGGCTGGTAAAGTCATTCTTATCCTTCATACTCTATCTTGAATAATAGGTTGCATATTGTGCTTCCCTGATTTTTGATTTTCCTGTAATGGATATTTTCACATCTCTTCTATCTGGCAGGCTGAAGTCAATTTTCTTGGTGATCTTCTCCATCCTAATTTGGTTAAATTGATTGGTTACTGCATTGAAGATGATCAGAGGCTGCTGGTGTATGAGTTTATGCCTCGAGGAAGTCTGGAGAACCACCTATTTAGAAGTATGCAACAGTTATATTTTTTCTATTCCCCTTACAAGTTATAATTGGCTTAAGTAGCTTGGCCTAAAATGTCGAAACTTTACAACTTGTTATTATTGAACTTTTGAATTTTGGAGCTAGGTATCACTTAATGCGCACATCTTATCAAAGCATAAAAGGGAGGAGGATCTACAGATCCTTTACACTTAATGATATAGTGTATGCAGTTAATATGGGCATTAATTGAGATTGAAATGGTTGTAAACATGAGAAGGATGGCCTATAATAATGCAAAGTTTGTTAATGTATTGTTGAGATATTGTACAGATTGTTAGAAGTTGTATGGATTTTTGGAGTTATTAATTGCCACCATAAGAAATGATTAAAAAAGCATAGTAGCATGCTGACAAAAAGTATTAAAGAAATATCATGAGAATTTACTATGTTTGAATAATATCTATTGAATCTCTACTGATCAAAAGAAGCACTTCTATTCTTCATGATACGTGCCCTTATCTTTACACATTCCTTGAAGGTTGGTAGCACCATTAATTGATACCTTTTTAAGCTTCATGGTGATTTGATGATTTGAAATTGGAGCCCAATGTTCAAGTGTACTGTGTTGGATAGGGAGGTTGGTAAGTGTATTATCCATGGTTGTCAAAATCCTACAATTTATTATATGATTCATGATCCAAATCATGAAACCAAAGGGTTTCGATTCAAATTTACGTCTAAATCCCAAAGAATTTTGGAGCCTCTGTTTGCCATTAGATTCTTCTTTGGCTCCTCCCTCTTCAATTTAAAAAAGGCCATTACCCAATATTGGTCCCAGCTATCTGGGGTCTTGGGAGGGTAGACTGGATATGGACCTAGCCTTTGGCATTTTTTTGCACAAAGTAACTGCTCTCAAGTGCATCTTCCTATTCAATTAGTGGGGTCTTAAGCTCTTGACTTCAAAATTCTTTGGGCTTGAGGGGGTCTTCCCTTTGGGTGATGGTGTCCTTTGTGTTGATTAATATGGAAAGAAAGAGATAGGAGGTTTTTCAAAGGGTTTGAATAGCCCTTTTGATGTTTATATGCTGACTCAGAAATATATTTTATTGAATTTATTGTCATTGGAGAATATTGCAAATGTCAATAGAACAGATTTCATTTGATTTTGTGTGCGGAAGGTGGTAAATGTGAAAGGCTTCTGGGGGGCTTTTGGTCCGTCTTCTGTAGATCACAATATTATTATATTTTAATAAAAATCTTTTTTTTGTAGTCAATTAAAAAAGAATTCAGAGGTAGTTATAATCTAACATTCACATTTCATCATAAAAGAAGACCCACAAAAGCATATATTCCCACTGTATAGCTTCTCGGTGTACATGGGCTGATGGAAAAACACTTTGTGCTTTTCCTACTGTATAGCTTCTCGGTATACAGTAATTTACTTTATAAAAAAAGTAGAAGCACTTTGTGCTTAATAATAGCATTTTATGGAATTATTTTAATGTGAAGCGGTTCATGATGGTATTCATCTGCCATGGAATCAAGATTTGGGAATAACAGTTAAATGTTAGATATTTTAGGAAAGCATTTATTTTTAAAGGTTGTGAAAGCATTGCAAATTTTTTGGGATTCCTCAAAGCTATTTTAGGAAGCAACAAAAAATCGTAAATATGCACTTGTTATTACATAGATACTACCCATTAAATGTCAGATATTAATCCCTTTCTGTTTATCTGCTAGGAAAGCTAATAAGTAACATTGGGCTTTGAAATAAGCTTTTTTATGCTACTGCATTTGCTTATGCTTGTGGATATAATCAAATAATGAAAATGGTAAGCATAGGGTCTCCGGACAGTTAGAGATAGAGTGTGAGATATATCAGAAACATTGTCTAGGATGGTGTAGGGATCATGGAACCATTGTGAAATATTTGGAACTATTAACTGGTATTTTAGGAAATTATAAAAGAAGCATTAATGCACACTAGTAATTTAACTATAAATTACCTCAAGAAAAATAAGTAGTCAAGGTGGAGGGTGACTCAATTGTTGTTATTACTATTATTATTATTATTATTATTATTTTGAGATAGGTGTTCCACTTTGAGACATTCTATGGCAAAAGAGTCATGCATAGTTGTCATGGTGCTAGACAACTAGGTGTCCTTGGTCGGGTGTTTTGCTTAATGCCTTGACTTATAGAAACAAGGCACTTGTCTAGGTGACAAAAAACAAGGTGGGTGCCTTATTATAATATCATAGCAATGGCTATTATCTTGGTAATACGTGTGTCAATGCAATATATGATATACTATATATCACTTATACTTTGTTGTAAAGTTTAAGCATTGGAATTTAAAAGATCCAAAGATTTTTTTCCCGATTGGCAACTATAACATTTTTTAAGACATGTAAAAAAATAATGATTTAACTACAAGTGGTACAAAGAATGCCGGGCATTCCCCTAATCAGGCTGGCACCCACTCCTCCCCTTACAATTGGTTCCCTATTACAGAACACCCAAATACAGGGTTTTTAAAAGATCCTAGGGCTTCGAGGAGACCAAAAAAAAACCCAAGGATAAAAAGGTTCTCTCTCTCTCTCTTTCGTATTAAACAAAACAGTGGTTCTACCCTTGTTCTTTTCTCATTTACTTGCCTTCAATCTTAAATTTTTATCATACTAGTGTAAAGGCACATGCTATGCACGCGTTAAAGGGTAAAGATATAAGTTAGCATTATATAATGAAATTTAACATTAATGATCTGCACCAAAATCAAGGCAAGTATCAACTTTATATGCTATTATGGATAAAAAATTATCATATAAAATTATAGCTTTTTTAGTTGCTAATTTGATATAAAGTTGCTCTATTAAATATTATATTATTATCTTTTGAAATATTAAAATTTAGATATTTAAAGTGGCGTGCTTTAAGAGGAAATTTAATGTTTTTAATAAAGATAATTGCTAACTTTTCAATTTATGCACATGCTGATTGGTATATAAAACTAAAGAACTAACCRAAATATAGTTTTTTTTTTTGTTCTATAAAATAAAATTCTTATTGCCTAGGTGACTAGGTCCCCACTAACACCCAAATGCCTTTTCAAAGATGGAGCCTTGGTTTATAGGGTTGAACATTTTGTCCATGGTGATGGGAGGAGTGAGTTGGTTTGAAAATGGCACTTTCATGGTGATCTTCTTGTTTTATGGGTCTCTTTCTTTTCTTCGCCTTTCTAATTTTGAAGGAGTGTGGGCTGCTTGTTGGAGGAATTGACTATTCTCTCTCCTCCTAGGTTGTTTCTGCTTGTATTTCCTCTCTCTCTCTCTCTCTCTCTCCCCTTAATAAATCTTTCTAGTTATTGGTCAAAGTTGAATACTAGGTAAATAGGCAAAGTATTTGCTAGTAATTATGATATAGATAAGACATTATAGGATCATATGTTGTTTTCCCTTTTATTTGTTTTATTAAGTACTAGTGTAGGGGCATGGGCCATGCACGTGTGCAAGTAAAGATTAAAGGGTAAAGATGTAAGTATTAACCTTATATGGTACAATGCTCTGATTTAACTTTTATGACCTGCACAGAAACCAAGGCAAGTATCAGCATTATATGGTATAGATTATAGCTAATAAGGAACAATTGGGATTTTAAGTGTTAACCTTATATGATATGATACTCTGATTTAACTTTTATGACCTGCACAGAAACCAAGGCAATTATTGGCATTATTTAGAATAGATTAAAGTTAGTAAGGAACAACTGAGATTTTAAGTATATGAAAATGTTTTTATGCTATGATATTTATTCGTTGGTCAACACTTGATACAAAAAATATTTATAAAAAACACTTAATACAAAAAGCCTGCGTGGGAACAATGATTACCCAAAAATGTGAAATTGTACATTTTATATACTTTGTGTTGATATATTGCAAAGGCCTTAGTTATCAAAAAAATATTGCAAAGGTCATAGATGAACTGCAAAATGTTTTGAATTTGATGGCATTTTAAGAGATGATAAGAGAAGCAGGATGTGAAGCAAGGTCCAATCAGCGGGTTGGTAAGGTCTCCTGCTGGTCATAGCGGAGACTTGGGATGGAATCCCACCTGCACCTGGGTTGGGGGATGGGCTACCCCCATTGTGTAGCCCTTCAAAAGAAACAAAAAAAAAAAAAGAAAAAGAAGCAGGATGTGAAAATCTAATTATTATTTGACTATATGTTACCGTGTCAAAAGTAGTTAACACCACATAAATAGGAAAGTATTTGCTACCGCATTGGTATAACATTCTAGATGTTAGATATTCTGTTTGTTATTCATTTTATTTCATGTTGAAGCCAATAAGAAATGATGGAGCCTTTAAATATGGAAGATATTTTGCACACCTTGTTTTGATAAAAAGGGTATACCCCTGATTAATATAAATAAAGGAATTCTAATAAACAACAAATTTATGCAACTCTTGGGTACTTTATCCACATACATGATGGACCCATGCATGATTTATTTTTGCAGTGTATCTTTTCACGAGTCYCACCAGGTCTGTGGGGCGGATATTCAAAGATTACATTAACTTGTTGCTTACTAGAATTCCTCATGTAAATGGTATCATTTGTCTTTTCTCTTGGTATGTGCCTACTTAGAACTACTAGGTACCTATATCAATATCAGAAACTTTTTGTGCTACTATGTTTGCTCCTTTGGGAATCTATGATAATGATATGTGCCTCCATGCTGTATACATAATGCATAAAATTAAAATACTAATATATTCTGAGAAGGAAGGGTACATGCTATTGAGGGACCTGGGTACCATCACTTGGGACTTTAAGGATATTTTAAAAAAGGTCAAATGACTATTGAGGGACATGACAGTTAGATTTCAGTGGATAGGTAGATCGGCTAATGCCTTGGCTGATTATCTTGCTAAACAAGGGGCTACTCGGGTCTCCTTGTATTGGGCTTCTCTGTATTTTTCTTTGTCCTTTGTTATGTTTATTAACTAAAGGGTTGATGGTTTCCTCCATCTCCCCTCCTTAGAGGGGAGGTAGCATCTCTGCCACTCCCTAAATTGTACTGTCGTTGTCTATGATTTAATAAATCTTACAATTCACTGATAAAAAAATAAAATAAAAAGAAAAGGAAGGGTACGTGCTAGAGTATTTATCAAAAAAAAGGGTATATGCTAGACAATTGCAATGTTATGATTTAGTCAAAGCCAGATGGGTCCTTAATTTTTTCTTATACAATACTTTACCTTCTTCTTCAAAATAAAAAAAAGTCAGCCAGATTTCTATATATATTGACCAAGGTATTATAATGATATGATTATGAAAATATAGGTTGCTCAAAATGACATTAAATATACCAAAGCATTAGGGAGCTTGTTAAAAATGCAAAACCCTGTCCAGAAAATGAGCGTGGCAGAAATATGAATGCTTAGATGAATGAATGGTAAAACTAGAAAGGACAGGGTTAGAAATGAAGTCATACGAAGGAATCTAGGAGTAGGTCCAATATGTGATAAAATGAGAGAAAGTAGATTTAAATGCTTTGGTCACATGTATAGAAGACGATCTACAGAAACTATTAGGAAAAGGGATCTGTACAGGTTGAAGGGGCTATAGGAGCTAGGGGTAGACTGAAAAGGACTTGGGGTGGAAGTAATAAGAAATGATTTAAGCACCCATAATTTAATGATGGATATGGCACTGAACAGAATTGAATTGTGAAACAGGATTCATGTAGCTGACACAATGCAGTTGGGAGAAGACTTAGATGATGATGATTAGGGAGTTTTCTAGGAAACATTTTGGCTATATTTTATTTTATGCCACAGAAAGGGAAATAGTTTTTAGCAAGTGTAAGAATTTATTTATTTATTTTTCAAACTTAACCATGCATGAAATCCACTGAATGCCTTATGTTTGGGCATCATCAGCAATGCTTATAAAGTCTGCTCCCTATTCATAAGTGAGATTAAAGACATTCTCCTTATTGAAGCTTGGAATTATTTTGACCTTTTTAGTTCCATAGATTACTCTTGTTATGCTGCTTGAAAAATTAGTATTCTGATCTTCTGCCTCCTTGTTAACTGGGTTTGGAATTATTGTTCATATATGCCTGCCTGATTTTTGGTGTATTATGTTCAAGTTCATCTTTTGACAATTTAGTTTTTTTGATATTGGACTTTTTTTGTTGGACAGATTGAGTAATCTGAATTTTTTAATGTGATTTTACTTTGTCTGCTGTTGCAAACAAAAGTAATTATTGAGAGCATTGACACTCCATAGAAAACTTAGAAATGTGCATGTGCGGTACTTAAAAGGCATTGGGGAGTCAACATATTACAATATATGGAAAACTAATAAAATTTGAGATATAGAGTATTCTGGAGACCATTGTGGAATTTACATGCTTAAGAAAGCTTCTGGAATCGTAAAATTGTAATGTCACATTGCTTCGGGTAGAAGAATTCTTCCTTTAGATATGGTTATCTTTTTAGGAAAATAAGAAGGGCAAATTTGATTGATACTTGTTTTTGATATTGAACTTTGATCCTTTTTGATGTGACTTGAGTTGCTATAGAAGTTTATCTTGGGTAGCTTGATGACAAGGTAAAACCACTTTACTAGAATTGTTGGTGCTTATACTACAGACTTCAGTAGCATCATATTTTTCCCCAATACATATAGACCAGTCAACCACTTTGCTACACTTGAGTGATTGTTATTATTATTATTATTTTTTTGATGAATCTTGAGTGTAACAACTTGAGTGATTGTTATATACTTGTATTCACATATCTGCATTTTTATTTATACAAAGCTTGTCTATTTGTTTCATGTTCTAGTAATGTTTATATGAGATTTATGTTATCTCAAATGTGTTAGCTTATTCCATAAATGATAACTTTCTATTGAAACCATTTGGCATTTGCTATACTAATCGTTTTGCATGCAATTCACTTATAGAGCTGTATCTTCTGTTTTATGCTAGATATTGAGTCTTCTATCACTGCTTGAATCTGTCTTTCCCTTGTGTTCTTATAGTCTTCAATTTGCATCAAGTCAATCTTACTGTTCATTTCTTTGGACAACTTCTGAAAATATATTGATAAAATCAAATAATTGTATTATGCACATTTGCTTTTCTTTTTCTTTTTTTTTATTGTTAACTTCACTTTTTATTATTTGATGACAAAAGAATGAGAGCAATTGCAGCAAGATGTGCCAAGCAACTCGTATATAAATTAAGCTAGTCCTTGCTACCTTGCCCACCTTCCCTCTCCCCTGTCCTAATACAACCAGAGTTCAGATTCCCTAGGAATAACCCCCATTACAAGTAATCTTTATTTTTCACTTGCTTAGGAAATATTTTCTCCAAGCTCTTGGCTGATCTTCGGGTTCAAGTGAGCTCTCTCAATTCTCTCACCAAATAACTTATTTTCCTCAGTGTGTGTCTACGCTGCCATGTCCTGGGTTAATCACATTTGAGTTCGTTGCCAGCTTGATACTTTGATCTGTATCTGACACTGTAAAGTGTCTGTGTTTAAGAGTCAAGGCACATGCTTACTGTCTTACATTCTGATGAACAGAGGTCTGGGTGGGAACATCCTTTTATGCTATTTTTAAGCTTCCTTATCGGAATAATAGAAAGTTCAGTTGTCTGCTTTCTGCTTTTTGTTCAAGTACGTATAGAGTTCAGTTGTATGCCTTGTAACAAACTTTGGAGTGTGCTTTGTTGCTTCTTTTTCTTTTGATTTGTAACTTAATAACTTTTGTTGATGCTGTAATGTAATTTTATACAGAGGTAATGTAGTAGATATACAAACTTGAGAGCCTTGAACTGTATATTATAGTTCCCCCAATGCACCCTTGACCCCTCTATTCTGGAAGAAAAGAAACCAGATTCATCACTTCTCCTTGGACCCCAGACATTGTCAGAGAAATCTGCTAGATCATTTGTTGATCTTCTAATCCATCAGAATGAGAAGTTCCTCTAGCTACTACTAGTGAGGGAACATAGCACATCAGAATACATTGCTTTTCTAATACTTGTTAACTACTGCAGCATATCCTTTTATGTCTCTTTCTTGTTCTCTGTCAAAGATCTATTCATCTCTGACATTTGTTAACAGTAATGAGGCCAAGTTGTATCTCTTTCACATTAATGTCAATCATGACCATCTCTTAAAGCAGTTTTATTAATTACAATTTGCTGTTTAATACTTGGCTTTTGCATTATTGATGTTTAATGTATTCTGGTAACAACCATTTTATATGCAGAAGGGTCCTTGCCTCTTCCCTGGTCCATCAGGATGAAAATTGCATTCGGTGCTGCAAAAGGCCTTGCCTTTCTTCATGAAGAAGCTGAAAGGCCAGTTATATATAGGGACTTCAAAACATCTAATATCCTGTTAGATGCGGTAGGTGACTAAAAGTACAAGTCTAAACTCTTTTCCAAAAAATTAATGCTCTTCTAATGAAATGCCGTTCCAGGAATATAATGCAAAGCTTTCAGACTTTGGACTTGCCAAAGATGGTCCAGAGGGTGATAAGACTCATGTTTCTACCAGAGTGATGGGAACCTATGGATATGCAGCCCCAGAGTATGTGATGACCGGTAAGTTTGATTAAATGTTTCAGACTGTTGAATATGATTAGGTTGCAACCCTCATCTTACAGTTTACTGTTTTCTGTTTCTCTATTCACCCATTTTCTTTTATATTTTCTTATTTCTTTGTAAACCAACTTTATTCTTTGCTGGTCCAACCCTTTTTTTTCGCATAGGAAAATGCTATATTGTGAAGTAAATGCTTAAAAGCAATTCTAAGGATAGAAATTAGTATATGTGGTGTAAGAAAAAGGAAATTTGCATCCTTACATTTTTTAATCAATGGTTTTATTTTCTCAAGTTCTGTGGAGTATCTGTTGGAAACCTTGTTTACATTCTTCATTGTCTGAACTGAACTTTGTAGACCTTTTATTCACTCAACTTTCCTTTCTTTTACTGAAGTGTATCTATATAGCATAATATCCATCTACACTAGGGAGTTGGTTTCTTGACACTGGAATGACTTGCTGTTCATCTTTATTCTTCTAACCTTTAAGTTGGTCTTCCATTTTCTTAGCATTTGCATATTTGATAATCTGTATAATTTTCAGTAAAAGGTAAGGTGGGCTTCTTGTGAGGCCAAATGGCCAAAGGATGAAGGGCCTAAATAATTAGTAATTTATGAAGTTATTGTAGAATCTGTTACTAGCCATATACAATATCAAATAGCCATCTTGCCAGCCATTGAATTTGCCCTCGTGAGTATTGGAGATAACAAGCTACAAATGTGTAAAATATTAACCGACTGTTATCTTGATAAGCCGGATCCTGATGGTTTGTTGGCACTCTTTAACTGTGTTCTGATATACAGAGATGGAAATCTATATATTGAGGTTCCCTGTCATTGATTGATCTTGGCAATCAACTTTTTTAATCCTTATACTGTAAAGTAAATTGGTTCTGTATTTGTTGACATCTCATGGGGATTGATGAATATTTCTGAGTCCATGATCTCTGGTTTTGCACGACATTTTAATGTGCTGGTTGTCAATACATCTTTTTCAGATACATTCAATTGTCTGATACATTCCCTGGTGACTTTGTTTCTTAAATATGGCACACCTTCAAGAAATCTAAAGAAAATGGTCCTAAAGGAAAGTTTGCCATTTGTTTCAGTCACATTGTATTTGAAGTTGTAGATTATTGCCTTTCCTGACTCAACCACCCCTCTGATACAGGGCATTTAACATCAAGGAGTGATGTATATAGTTTTGGGGTGGTTTTACTAGAGATGTTGACAGGCCGAAGATCTATGGATAAAAACCGACCAAATGGGGAGCATAACTTGGTGGAATGGGCACGGCCACATCTTGGTGAGAGGAGGAGGTTTTACCGGCTGATGGACCCTCGCCTTGAGGGTCACTTCTCGATTAAAGGTGTACAAAAGGCTGCCCAGCTGGCCCAACACTGCCTTAGCCGAGACCCAAAAGCAAGGCCTTTGATGAGTGAAGTTGTGGAAGCCCTGAAGCCTCTACTGCACCTCAAGGACATGGCAAGCTCCTCGGACTACTTCAAGGCAATGCAAGCAGAGCGCACTGGGTCAAACCCAAATGCCAGAAATGGGCTTAGAACACAGGCGGGGTCTATGTCAAGGAATGGGCAACCAACCAGGAGCCTCTCAATACATGGTTCTCATGCTTCTCCATACCACCACCACCAGCCCCTTCAGTCACCCAAACCCAATGGTAAACAGCCATAATGTTCAGTTCCTGTCCATCCATTGCTCTTGACCTCTTTCTTTTTTAATCTTTATTTTTTACCTTAATTTTCTTTGGTTTTTTATATATATATATATAAATATATATCATCATGGGGGCATTTGAATAGGAGAAAGGGATCCAGCCTTCGAGGAATCATTAACTGACGCAGTTGTTTCTATGTAGTGACTGGTGAGGAGGGTCGGTGGGCCGTGCCCATTGTCCATTGAGGAGATATTTTAGGGAAGAGGAGGCTTTTGGAGGAGAGAATTGTAATGCCACCTTATGTTGGTTTTAATTTATTTGGAAATATATCAAATGGGAGTAAAGCTAATTGACTCGTCATTATCATCTAAAATAGGCAGGGAATAGGAATGACTGCAAAATGGTTTAGATATCTCGAATTTGTTTGGCGGGTGGGATCTCTTCATCTGATAATGAATCTTTTTCGTTCACCATCCATTGGTAACTTCAGTAATCAGACTTCAGACCCATCGGTTGGATTATACCATCMGATAATATTAAATTGAATCATACAGGTGACAGGTCTACCATCCATGACGCACGGGGGTCTCTCTCTCTCTCGCTCTCTCATGTTTTGGTAATGGGGGTATCTTGTCCCTATGGTGATTTAGTGAGAGCCTGGAGGAAGGAACCTTGTAGAAAATAGAGGCGGCCATGTCTTGGAAGTTCGAACAGTAACAGTCCCTTATCCTTAGGATTACTGTACTGCCAAGTTAGATGATATTCTGCCAATTTTGTCGTTCTAATTGGAACCTCTAGGCTGTAGCAGCACGGGTTGAAGTTTGTATGCTGCCATGGCTGAGGTTTGTGTGGGTGTGTGTACTAGAGTTTCTAATTTCTGTAGCTAAACCCTCCAACAGGAGTGTATTCCAGTTGAACTGCACAAAACAAATAAAGAGTGCGGAGTGACATGCATTGTTGAATTGGACCTCTTATCAGCTATTTCTATTAATATCATCTATATTGGATGCAAGCTTGATATGGATAATATTCAATCCAGATCTGAACATTATCGGATAAAGAGTGGGTATCCCATATGCACGTATTTTCCCCCTATAACAGAATAATCATCATTGTCGTATACTCTCAAAGTGCCAGCCCAGAGTCCAGCCAAAATAAACCCAATGCTTTGCCCAACAGACTCAGGTTTATAATGAAGGAAAAGGAAGGTTTGTCCATCTCCATTCTCCATCGTCTATGGTCCGACAAACCCAAGTTGTCACAAATCCTGCTGCCGTCCCCACAGTTGTGTCTCAACCGAATGATTATTGCTTTGTCTTTTGCTTCCCATGTCATTACTTGAATTATGACATGGTTGTTCTCTTTTTGAGGCATGGCAACAGATTGTTTCTGAAAACAAACAAGCTTTGCTTCCAACTTCCAACACTGAAAACTATATTATTTTTACTGTCGTCGGCCAGCTGTAATGTTGATACATCACACACCCTCAGAACTTGGAAGAAAGACTCAGAGTCACTGGGGTGGTTAGCACTTTCATGTTCATGTTGGATGCGTAAACAAAAAGCCAAAGGTGCACCCATGTGATTGTTTGTTCCTCCATCTTGTGATGGGTAGCATCTCCCTTCTGTTTCCCATTTAGTTTTCCTGGTTAATTCATCATCCTTTACTTTGCATTACATCACTTTTTACCTGTGTGTCACTATGGTCCTGAATCATCTTAGTCAACTCTAGTCAGGCGGGCTGGACCAGATTTAAACTCAACCCTGGTCCAAGTGTCCAACCCTAAGAATTGGACTTAATGCCCAATTGTCCAACCTAAGCCCAACCCAAACTGAAATTTGACACACTCGGATTGGCAATCGGGCTTAGGTGGCCCTATTAAAAAGTTACATGAACCTATTTTTAACCATGTGCAACTAACTGTAAGCATGCATGCATGTATGCTTCCGTATATGTATCCAAGCCCAGCCCCAAGTTGAATCCCTATTCTTCTCATTTTATCACCCATCAAAGTTTTTCTTAAATTCCCACTCATACTAATTTTAATTTTCTCCACCACTCATTTTTCTTTAAATGTTGTTTTTTTGTTTTTGCTCCGAAAAGGAAAGTTTTATTCTCCAAAAAACTCAGAAAGAACATCATTTTTTCTGTAAATGTTGTTTGTTGACTCCGAAGATTTTAATGTATGCAACTTTACTGGCCTCGTAGCCATCTTATAAAATTTCCATTCCCTATGAGTGATGGCACAACACTTTGAATATGATCTCTCTAATATACTTATATTAAGATGCAGCGGTAAGCTGAACGATTGGGATGCTTGCACCAGCTAGACGAAAAAATGATTTTTTTTTTAACATTAAGGTGATGTTTGGCATCAAAGATGATTATTTCTTACTTACTGTATTTTAAAAAAAACTGGTGATTTTTGAAATCAGTGTTTTTTTTAAGTCAATAAATTTTGTTATTTGTATCATTCTGCTTTATAAGTTGATTTTTGAAAAACCGGCTTTTGAGTCAGTTTGGTACTGATTTTCAAGAGCCGATTATTTGTGTTAGAGTTTTTATTCAATGTCATATTAGGTCATCCTCAAAATAATCAGAATCAGCTATAAATCATGTATGTGATGTTTGGCATTGATGATGATTTCTTAAAAATCACTGCCATGCTGGAGCCACATCAGTGTTAGTGGAATTGGCATTGAAATTTCTGTTTAGTTGGCTGATTTTGGTAATTTTCAGAAAATCAGCCAAAAACTGATTCTTGAAATCAACAATTTTCAGGGATCACCTTTTATTGGTGATTTCCCAATTTCTTGTTATTTCCAATTTTTTGAGGATGACGTGACATTGAATAATAACTCTAATACAAAAATAACTGGCCCTTGAGAATCAGTACTAAACAGACTTAAACCAATTTCTTAAAAATTAGCTTACATGGCAGAAATGATACCAAATAACAGAACTTACTGATTTAAAAAAAAAAAAACATTGATATCAAAAGCATGGATGCCAATTGCCAAACATCGATAAAATCACTCAAAAAAAAAAGATGATTCCTGAAAAGAGCTGATTTCAAGAATTGATTTTTGGCCAATTTTCCGAAAATCATCAAAATCGGCTAACCAAACAGAAATTTCAACAGCAATTCCTCTAATGCTGACGTGACTCCGATAAGACAGTGATTTTCAAAAAAACATTTTCGATTCCAAACATCACCGAGATAACTTTAGGTGTTGGGGGCCAATAGCCCATGCTCTTTGACTCTTGAGAGCGTTTATGGGCCGGATACATTCACCCATTCAAGCCCATATCTATCTTTTGGGTAAAAAAAAAAGAAAATAGGAGTAATTACTATTTTACTCCGTGGTCCCAAGAATGTTCTCAAACAGCCAAAGGCCAAAATTTTATCTAGTTGTGTCTATGCTTCATTGCTTCTGTTTTGATAATTCTCTTTTTTGGGATTATAGCATATAAGGGCAGCTTTTGTGTCCTAATATCAATAAAAATAATATTTTTAATAAAATTTTAAAAATAAGTTATTTTTTAAAAATAATATTAAATAAAGATAAAATTACTGTTCATCTTCTTCCTTTTGTAGATCATTTATCAGTGCTGCCGCCTGCCACCACTTCCGGCAACGCTTGGGCGGAGGCATTGCCGGAGGTGGGCAAAGGCAGCGGCACTAATAAATTTACCCTTATTTGATATTATTTTTAAAAAATTAACCTATTTTTAAAATTTTATTAAAAATATTATTTTTATTAATATTAAAGCCCAAAAATTTCAATGAATGAAAAAAAAAACCTTCGCTTCAACGCCCCGCAAACTGGAAATGGAAGTGGAACCGGAAGGGATATCTGGAATTGAAAGTATTTGGCAACACGTGCCTGATAGATGGATAGATCTGCTAGTGGGATATTTAAAGACTCGATCTGTCATGTCAGTTGGTCTTAATTAGCCACGTGGCCACTGCTTTCGCTGTGTTAGAAAGACTTAGACCGGTCCATTGGTGAGTGGTCTCGCTTGCGGGTGAAGCTCGCTCTCATTTTCCTTCCCTGGCCTTTTCGTCCATGTTATTGTTATCCCTTCGTTCACATTACCTTTTTTCACGTAATATACGTTTTAACAATTCAGGTTCAGCGTTTTCACAATTGAAGTTTCTTCGTAAAATTTCTTATTGTAATCGTTCAGTGCAAGCTTCTGGCTCTAAAGGTACGGAGTTCCTTTCTTACAATGTAAAGTCTCCAATTTTCTTACTCGATTCTAGTTTCCGCTCAATTTGTTCGCATCTTTTTTATCTTTGGTCTCCCTCAATCCTTAGGTTGTAATAACTTCTTCAAGTTGAAGCCTTGAAGGTCTGATGAACTTGAATCTGTTATTTTTTTTTGTTCATACTGTTTTTTTTCTCAAATTCCTCTTTTTTTTTTTTTGAGTTGACTCTTTGTTATCATCTCATCTTCTTTATTTCTCCTTTGAACAGTCAGATGCTGGGTTATGCTACATTATCATTTATCACTGGAACTGTTTAAATTTACAAAATTTAGGTCGTTTCCTTGTTTATTAATTTACAAAATTACACTCGCCGCGAAAAATAATTACAATGTTACAATTTTACACTAACCTTCGTACTTATTCTAAAGTTTTCATCGGATTGGGCCCTTTTTTTAACAGAACTTCTTTTGGGAAATCTATATGGACTTCTATGTTTCAGTTTTATCGGTTTTACTTTTGCAATACATTTGTCCTAGCACAGACTGTATACTTTATTTCTTTTCTGTTGTTGAATATATGACTTATGAAATCCAGGGCGTGTTGATATATTTTATTGTCTAATCTAGCATGGGATCATTATCTCTCTTGGTATTTCATATTTGTTTATTTGATGAGGTTTCTTTTTTTTGCCTTATATAAACAATATCTAATAGTTGTTGTCACAAGAGTTTGAAAACTCTTCCAAGTAGGACAACACTTGATTACTACTACCGCTGCTACTTGTATCATAGGAAAGTTAACAGAGAGCCAGTAACATGTCTATTGAATCTTAAAACACTTGGTGTATTTCCTTATCTGTTTCTCACAAAAAACACTAATGTTCTTTGAACTCTGCGTTGTGGGTAGAAGGTTCATCAATCTTTTGTTTGCCAACACTTTTCCACCTTGAATTGGGTAAAATCGTGCAAACAAAATTATTCTTTTTTATTGCAGCTTTCAGTAGAAAATATGGTCTGCCCGTCTAGTGTTGCAGTGATAAGCCTATTATCCTGATTCCTGAAGTATAAATTTGAACTTGGAAAATCTGGCTGAAAGTGAAACAACTGAACTAGTGGAGCCATAGTTGTTTGGAAAAGTGATTATTATTATTTTTTAAATTATGAAGAATATTTGAAAGTGGTCAGCAATGTCTCAAATATAACCGATTTCTTTAACCCTGGGGGACAGACAATAAGCTAAGGCTTTTAAAGCACCAATGAATAAGGACAAATCTAAAGCTAGGTTATCAATGAGATCATATGGTTAGTAGGGAAGTATTTAGATTATGAGTTTGCATGGTTGTTTACCTTTGAAAGGTCATATTAATAATGCATCTGCATCTTTCTTATTGGATGTATCTGATTGGGAAGAATTGTATGGCTCTAACCAGGGAAACATTAACTAATAGTTTATTTGATCATGCCTTTTGGATCATCTCTTTGTTGTTTATCTCTTGGCTTATCCTAATAAATTCCATTCTACCAGTAGAAACAAATAATGGGACAAGCACTTTGCTGTGTTCAAGTGGACCAGTCAACAGTGGCCATCAAGGAAAATTTTGGAAAGTTTGCGGATGTACTTGAGCCTGGTTGTCACTGCTTGCCTTGGTGTCTGGGGAGCCAGTTAGCTGGCCATCTTTCATTGCGTGTACAGCAACTTGATGTTCGTTGTGAAACTAAAACTAAGGCATGTTATTTCTTTTTCAGCTACTTTCCTCAAATGATTAGATGTAAGCATTATCTTGTTTGATGTTGCTTTAGAAGCACTATGCTCTTAATTAAAAGGTTATAACTGTTTTATGACAGACATGTAGAATTAGGTATTTTGTTACTTGACTGATCAAAAGTAGAATGCGATATTCATAAAGAATTATTTTTTAAAAATAAAAAGTACTTCTAAATATGGGTCAAAAAGAAAGGAGATATGGACAAACCAGTTATCTTTACCTTTTTACCATTAACGGAAGAAATTCTATAGGGTAAAATTTATTACATTCTATAGAATCTATCTCTATATCATCAAGGAGGGATTAAACAATCAACTTAAACCATCCTCAGAAATTTACCTGCAGAYTGTAGCCAATTGTGTCTGCATTCATTTGAGATAAACTATTTTTGGAATTTTTGTAATCATGGTACTCTATTGCTGATAAAATGAGATCAAAGTGGTTTATTGCATATTATGGTGCATCAGTTATATTGTCATCAATAATGCCAACATTGTTTATATGCTAGTTCCAGCACAGAGAACGTTTACTTCCTCCTTTGTTTTTGAATGGTGTCTATTATCTTTAACTATATTATGTTCCATTTGAAGACCCTGATCAACATTGTTTTTTTTTTAAGGATAATGTCTTTGTCACTGTGGTTGCATCCATTCAATATCGTGCCTTGGCAGGAAAAGCAGCCGATGCTTTCTATAAGCTCAGCAACACCAGGGCACAGATCCAAGCCTATGTTTTTGATGGTATGAGTGTAAAACAGTATGGCTCTTTTTGGAATTCTTCTTGGTGGTTCCATTTCTTTACATATATATCTTGGATCTCCTTTCTTATCAGTGTATGTGGTACCCTACATTAATAGACTACAGAGAACAGACTAGAGAAGCAGATATGCTAAGTAACATTCTTGTACCATCTTGAAATGCCCTCCACTGTCTCCATTTAAACTTCTCAACCCTTTAATGCTTTTTCAATACAATCTAACATGAGTGATTGCTTCTAGTTTTTCACTTTTTCCTCGCATACTTCATTTCTTAATGCCACATGATTATATCTATCTGAAATTTAAAGATCAATCCGTGAAACATTAATGGACCTCTCTTGTTGCTCTTCAGTTATCAGGGCTAGTGTGCCCAAGTTGGACCTGGATTCCACCTTTGAGCAAAAGAATGAAATAGCAAAAGCTGTGGAAGAGGAGCTTGAGAAGGTAAAGTTTTGAATATATAGTTTATCAATTATTATATATATATATTATAATTGATTATATTTTCCTCTTTTTAATGGCATTTGCAACCTACCTGATTGCTCATTGAAATCTTGTTTTCTACTTTTCTTTCTCCAATTGTGGGTACAACAGGCCATGTCAGCATATGGTTATGAAATAGTCCAGACTCTTATTGTGGATATTGAACCAGATGAGCATGTTAAAAGAGCAATGAATGAGATAAATGCAGGTATGTATTTGTGTCTTTGCATAAATAGGATTTCAAGGGATGTCCTTGTTTTCTTTGTTCTCTTCCTAAAAATTATTCATCCTTAAGTTCCATTTTATGTATATTCTGAGGGGATAGGCTAAGTGGTCCCCGCACAATAAAAGGATTTGGATGGACAGAGAATGTTGCATGAGGCAGCTTAGGTTGAAGTTTAAAAAATATTCATGTCTTGCCACTTAATTGGCAATTACTTCTAGTACTTCCCTGGGCGTAGCCCTTGATAGAGTAGGATGGTGAAACAGGATTCCTATAGCTGGCCCTATATAGTTGGGATAAGGCTTTGTTGAGTTGAAGTCCCTTTGACATGGCAAAAGCTGAAAAAGAGAACTTATGTTTACCTTTTTCTTTGTTTGAAAGAACAGTAATTAAGTTCATAGCTGTTAGTTGGTTATTTATATGAAAACTAACATGGTTTGTTATGGAGCTTATATAGAAAATCACACTGTTCATTTGATATAGATATCTTCCCTTGGATACTTTAGTTTTCCATACCACCTATCCACCTAATATGCCCAGATATGATACAGATAGAAACAGGGATATGACTTTTCATTTCCTAAAATTCTGAACACAGATATGGGTACAGGAATTCGATATAACATCCTTATATCATGCATGTATATCTAGTTTTTTAAGAGGAATGCCATTTATTAAGATTTATGTCTTGCCAAATTAGTTAGATTTCCAACATGTGCAGGTATTTTTATGATATAAGTTGCTAAACCATACCACTTTACATAGTGTTAATGCTATAAAGTATATTCATAAATATCCATGCAGTATTAGGTATCATATCCAATATGATAACATGTGCAGATCCTTCCCCACATGATGTACATTTTCCAACTATATGAAAAGCATAGCTATCCACAGTCCACATGATTGGAAAGTGGTACATTATGCAGTGAAGGATCCAAATATGGGCATGAAGGAATTCTTCCATAGTCTAACCATCCAATATCTAGTTGGTTATGCCATTTCATACTCCACACTCCTTTGGAGGGAGGTCTCTTGCCAATACAATGAGGAATTAATTGTTTTGTAAGTATTAAAGTATATGGACCTTAGTTATGCATCAGATTTCTTTTTGGCAAATATAGATATCCATGAGATGAAATGCATAATTACCATTTCTTCTTGACCCAACTCCTACATATAAATGGAACATGCATGCAAGTCCATTTCCAGCCATGGATTGATCTCTTCGGTCAACGAAGAACCTGGATATATGGGTTATGTCTTCCATGGTAGGGTAGAGTAGAGGACTCTAGATTTCTTCTTTTTTGTTTTCTTAATTTGTTTTTTCCTACAGAGAAATAAATGCCAAATCTCTATTACCTATTTAACAAGAAAAAACTAACACCTGCTCATTCATTAGCACAAATGAGCTCTCGAGTCATTGTTTCATGGTCCCTGCTGAATGGTTTTTATTTATAAATCTTAAATTCAAGCAGCTGCAAGACTGAGGGTAGCAGCAAATGAGAAAGCCGAAGCAGAGAAGATATTGCAGATAAAGAGGGCTGAGGGAGAATCTGAGTCCAAGTACCTGGCAGGGCTTGGCATAGCTAGGCAGCGCCAGGCCATTGTGGACGGATTGAGGGACAGTGTTATTGCTTTCTCTGTGAATGTGCCGGGAACAACAGCCAAGGACGTAATGGACATGGTATTGGTTACTCAGTACTTTGACACGATGAAAGAAATCGGTGCATCATCAAAATCCTCGTCTGTCTTTATTCCACATGGACCTGGTGCTGTGAGGGACATCGCCACTCAGATAAGGGATGGCCTACTTCAGGCCAACACTGTAGATTAGTAGAGAATTAATTATGTGTGTATACATATATAGAGGCTATATGTGAATTATTGCACCATGTAAATAAACCTTTGCAGATACGTTGGCTGTGTTTGTGCTCACTGCTTTTAATCTTTTGGTGGACCTACTGAAATGGGTCCTCATCCAGACTAAAGGTTTAAAGTTTGAATTAGAAAAAGCACGAAGAAGACTGGGGGGCCTTTAACAGTTTGATCATCAAGAGTGAACAAAGGCACTCCCAGAGCCCGATAAACGGCCCGTTGGACCACAGCATGGGCTGCACCGCTTCTTTTCTTCTTAGGCTTATTTTCTCCAACTTCTCACATTTGTCGTTACAAACAATGTCAAAAATTCCTCTTGGATCCGGATTGCCATGCTTTTGGGTTTTGGATGGCCCTTTAAGGCCAAGTTCTGAAGGGAAAAGCGAAATTACCACTATACCCGTTGTCCATTCTTGACACATTCTTGACACCAAGGTTTTCCAACTGCCATTGACCTGGATGGTTGAACTGTTTGGCCAAAAACTGTTGAATCGATCAATGAATCGTTGACTCAAGCGGTTGAACCGTCGATCTGTTTGACCGTTTAACTTTTTTTTGGCTGTTTTTTAATTTTAATTATTTTTTATTTTTTAATTTATTTTGTTAGAACGGGCTGTCTGTTTGGACCGAATGGTTGAATTATTGACTCAGAAATCGGTGGTCAGAATGGTTTTGATTCCGAGTCATTTTTTAAAACATTGATTGACACTGTCCAAAATGATTGACGTGGGGCGTTGTTATTGGTTAAACAGCTCCTAACACAGCCATGTAGTTGTAGTGCAATTTTCCTTGCATTAGTACAAATGAAAATAATAAAAATTTTGGTTTAATTTTATTTGGGATTTTACTTTATTCTGCTTCAGCTTCAAGTCTTAATTTACTTTATGCTGTTCAGCAAATCGTTTTTGAAAAATCTTCTAGAAGAACTAACAGTCAAATGACGTAGTGAGCTTTTACATAACAATTTTTACAACCCAAAGATTGTTTGGTTGGAGTTGCGTCTTTTTGTGTAGAGATGAGTGTTGAGCAGGCAAAAAAAAAAAAAAGGTGAGAAACTCCATTTCTAGCTTCTCAAAATAAGTTTGAACTGAGCATGTTTGTGTCTTTTCAGGGCATGATTTTTCGGTAAAAAGATATTTCTTTAACCAAATGGAAAAAGACCAAAAAATGAGTTGTCAGATTTCTAAAAAGTCGATAGCCTATGCAAAAGGACTCTCCAAATGAGGACTTTCATTTGTAATGCAAAAAAAAAGGGTAAAATTTGTAACAAAAATAAATTAGAATCTGCACCTAAAAACACCCATGTTTTGATTTTTTTTTTTAGTTTATCTTTCCTCCACCTTTGAATTTTGGGCGCATACTAGCAACAGCAAAGTAAACTCACCCCGATTTGTTGATTAGGGATAGTCTCACTTTCAATTGCTTACTTTGTCGTCATTGATTTGTATTTAAAGCCCAAAAGTAGAAGAAAGATGAATAATAAAATAAAAGTTAATATATGGGCATTTTTTGTAAATTTTGCCTATAACTGCAATTGAACTGAGTTTTGATCAAATAGTTTGAACAAGTTTAATTCTATTCAAGTTCAAATCTCAAGGTAAGTTTGGTTAATTATTTGAACTTGATCTTGGCCAATAAAAAATTTAGCTCAAAAGCGAGTAAATTTGGCTCAATTAGCATATACATACATATATACATATATTATAGAATATTAAGATATATTCTGTAATATATGTAAAGTATATTTTTATATTCTATATATAATATAATAATATACTATATATTATAAAAATATATCATATATTTATAAAATATAAAAAATATTTTCATTTTTTAGTCAAACTAAGCTAAGACATGTAAAAGTTCCGCTTGACTCAGCTCGATTGCACTCTTAATTTTACCCATTTCCATAACATCAATTTAATAGACGACTTAAATGTATAATTCTGAAAGTTCGGTACTAAAGAGATACATTTAAAAAATCAGGGCCCTAAGTGAAACTACCCAAAATATAAGATAGTTATATGCAATTTAGTTTTTTATTTTTATTTGTTGTAAAAATGCAGGGCAAGACCCAAGAATCAGGATTTGTAAACTTCGTACTAAGCTCACAGTCCCATCCCACTGTGTATTGGGATCATCTCTCCACAAATAACAATACTAAGAAATGGAGATGTTTCGGACTCCGTTCAGGATTTGTTCCTCACACAGAGCGCCTCACACCAACCTCACAGGTACATCCTATCATGCATTAGGAACATCTTCTATACTTATATATTTTTATTCACGGGAGATGTTTCCAATGCATGATGGATGGGATGTGCCTGTGAGGTCTATATGAGGCGCCCTGTGTGAGGAGCAGATTTGGTCTCCCACCAGAGGATCCAACTAGGATATACTATGAAGAATTTGTAGGACGCTTTTGTGAAGTGTATTAGAACACATTAACATCTTTCAAAATTTTTCAGTGGGAGATGTTCATACCAATTGGGATATGCTACAAGGAATTTGTGGGATGCTTTTTGTGGGGTGTAGACGTGAACTCCCAAGCATATAGAGTTTGAAAGGTTTGTTATGGCCAAATTGATGAGATTGGCTTCAATCAGTGCAAGGCCTGTTCGAACAGCATTCGAACAGCCTTGCATCAGGAACATCTCCATACTTTTGTGCTTCATTTTATGGAAAGATATTCCCAATGCAAGGTCATAATGATTGTTTGAACGGGCTTTGTACTAACCGAATCCGGTTTCCAAATTGACAAAGTCGACCCCCCCTAGTCAAAGTGAGGTGAGATTGGCTTCAGTACAAGGCCCGYTTGAACATAACGGGATCTGCTCCTCACAAATGGAGACCGGATCTACTCCTTACACCTGGCACCTCACACGCACATTCTATCATGTATTGGAAACATTTTCCCTACTTATTAGTTATAATTCACGGGAGTTGTTCCTAATACACTATGGATGTGCTTGTGAGGCACCCATTTAGGAGGAACAAATCCACTGTGCATTGAGAACATCTCCCTTAAATAATAACTAATAAGTACGGGAGATGTTCCCATACATTGATGTGCGTGTAAGGCGCCAGGTGTGAAGAGCAGATCCGGTCTTCGTTCTAACACGAGGTTGCGTTTGTTGTCCAGCATGCCAACCCATAGTGACAAACAATATGCCTTGATTGCTGTCCGGTTAAGTGATGATGCGATAATGGGACCCAGTCCAATTCCAAATGGGAGGATCACCATTCACCAGTCACACCTTTTTTTTTTTATTATTATAACCAATTCAGTTTTTTTTTTTTTTTTGATAATAGTATAACCAATTCAGAATTCGCCATGCACTTTCGTCGCTATTTCACCGAAGTGATCTCCACTGTTTCGATTTGACTTTTCTTCTGTGGACCCCTCATGACATTATCGTTGATTCTCTCTCTCCAACTTCGTTGAAAATATGCTCCGGCAATCGGACGGAAAAAGGGCGGGAATTTCGCAGAAGCGATGGATTCCGTCTACAGAGTGCAGAGAACTTTGGCAATTGGTGGATAGAAAAATAAATAGACTGAGAAAGAGAGAAGGGGGAAAATATCTTCTTCCACTCAACTCAAGGGAGGTAGGTAGAAAAATATTCAGGAAGGAAGTGGTAGTGGAAGTGACGGGTTCAAATATCCAAACTCAATCGAGAAAGCAAGCGCGCGAAGATATTTGTTTTCTTTCCATCCAATCTGGACCCATAAACAGGTCAACTTTATTATTCTTTGTTTTCTTTCTAGGTTTTCAGCTACCTTATTTTAGATTACGGAGTGGATTTTTTTGTTTTACTTTCGGATCACGACATTGAACTTTAAGAGTGGTTTTCTTTGCAACTAATACGGAATTCTGAACGGATAACTTGTCTGGTGATAAGTTAAGTGCGTCCTTTTCCTCTTTGATCAACGGCTTCCGTGAAATTGATCGCAAAACCTAAGCCAACGCTTTCTTTCTCGGATTCGTGAAATAACCTTGCATCTCTACATTGTTGTTCTTGTTTCTAATGTGTTTCGTGAAATAACCTTGCACCTAATGTGTTTTGACTTTTAATATATGACTGTATGTATTTGCTTTGATTACTGCATATAGTGGGCTATTTTGTTATTTTATATAAAATATATAATATGTAAATATCCAATCCAATGATTTATTAATAGTAAATAATAGTCTAAACTTTTTTTTTTTTTTTGGGGGGGGGGATTTTACACTTAAATTTCCTTTTTAGAGTCCCCATCTGGAACACAGGTTTGATGCGACAGGGAGAACAGTTCAAAAGGTGATATGTTTATAATTTATATATTGTATAGTTAGCAATCCACTTTTTTTTTCTCTTTTGGTAAAAATATTTGGCACCCACCGATAGCGTAAGTAAACGCAACCTTTGAGTTTATCTGGTTCAACTGACTTTCTTTCTCTGTAACTGTAAAATAGTAAATAATTTATTAATTAGATATTCTTAAGTCTAAACTTTTTTTTTTTGTTGGGGGGGGGATTTTACACTTGAACACAGGTTTGATGCGACAGGGAGAACAGTTCAGAAGGTGACATGTTTATAGTTTATATATTGTATAGTTAGCAATCCACTTTTTCTTTTTTTTGGTAAAAATATTTGGCACCCACCGATAGCGTAAGTAAACTACTCCTTCATTGTTGAAAAAATCAAATTATTCCTAAAAAATATAAATAATAATTGGTAATAAGAATTAAGAAAGATTTTTTTCTCTAATTTGAGTCTCTCTACAAGTCTATATATTTGTCTTGTTTGAGGTGCCGCTCCCGGTACTTTCTCGCACTAATTTTCGTTTCTTCTCTCGCCCTCTAGTGTTCGTTTCCTGAGACAGGGCTCAGGCAAGTTACTCCGTTTATTGATGTCGACTAATTTTATGTGTTTGTTTATTTATTTTTAACTTAATAAGAAAGCTTGATAGGTTCTGGTTTGGATTTTTGATTACTTTAATTTCCTTTTTTCATTTTATTGTTGAAAGGTGCATGCATCTGTCTATGGCTCCTTTCTCTCACAAAGAAGATGGGGGGTTGATGGTTTGGGAAATCTTTTGTTTGTAGGAGATGCTTAGCATTTCCTGCTCTTTTTTCAAAACATAGGTTAAAGGGCCCTTGGAAACTTATATAATGGTTGTTTGTTTGTGTTTTTTGTATTTTTCTGATCATTATGCATTTGGCATTTTCTTGTCATTTTTCTTACTGCAACTGAATCCCATGGAAGTAAAAACAGTAACTTGCTCATGATAAGGGTAAGAGTTTAGAGACAATCAAGCCATGCGGGATATCTTTTATACAGAACATAATTATGCAAGCTATACCCTTACTAAGTATATTATACTAGAAGTTAGGAAGCATGGTTAATCTTCTTAAAATTGCTTACTAACTTTTCTTATAAATTGTTGATATCAACCTTTATGGATCATACTAGAGTTGGGAACATGGGTAATCTTTTTTGCTGCATAAAAGTCGAGCAATCCACAGTAGCCATCAAGGGGAGATTTGGAAAGTTTGATGAAGTACTTGAGCCAGGATGCCACTGTATGCCTTGGTTCCTTGGGAGTCAACTGGCTGGACATCTCTCTCTAAGGTTGCAACAGTTAGATGTGAAGTGTGAGACCAAGACAAAGGTTTGTCCATTTTTTATTGATATTAATCCATGATCCAGATTGCCTATTATTTGGTTGTTTAGGTGATTTTATTCTAAAATCTTCTCCAGTGGCTCAGTTTGGGAAGACAACTGTACAAATACAAATGTGTACAATATAAAACCTTGTATTTTGTATTTCTAAACTTGTATTTGTACTTTACATGTTTTTATTTTGTACTCTTCCCAAACTAAGCCTTTGGAACAGAAAGACTTGTTCTATTATTTTTTCGTACTACTTATTAGCCTTGTATCATCTTTTCTACATCATACACTTTAGACATACAATGAATTGCAAACCATCCGCTTGTCAAACCCCACCTGCTGAACTGCACAAACTTGGTTCAGCTTGTTTATGTCTATGATAAGTGAAATTCTACTAAATATTCATGTTAATGCTAGTGGAACTAGAAGTAGTAAAAACTTTTATTTTTGTTTAGTATGCTTTTATTTTGTGCGCAAACTTTGTCCCTTTTTATTAAATTTCTTTTATATTTACCATAAAAAGAAAAGTTCTTAGATGATTCACTTTGTGATGACTCTTTGTCTGATGGACTACTGTTCGGTCTTTAGTTCCCAATCAAGCTCTACCACTGGCATCTTTGTACTTGTTTTTATTTAATTGCAAACCACAAACATGTGAATAATTTACATCAAGAGAAGCATCAAATATGCCAAACTAGAATTTTCCAACCCTATCATAAGCAGAGACCTGTACAGGTGTGCTGTGTCAGTTCAGACACAAGTTTTGATTATTGGATTTTATCTGTCACTTTGCCCAGCTGTGTCCTTGTTGTTTCTGGATAACCTTGTCCACCTTTAGTTTCTTATCACATGACTTGAATTTCAAATATTGGATTTTTTCTGTGTGGTATGCCAGATGTAACTCATGCTTCTTTCTCTGCACTCAGATGATTGGTCTCTATTCTTGTCATTCATCTTGCAGGACAATGTATTTGTCAATGTTGTGGCATCAATTCAATACCGGGCCCTAGCTAACAAGGCAAGTGATGCCTTCTATAAACTAAGCAATACAAGAATCCAAATCCAGGCCTATGTTTTTGATGGTATGCACCAAAAGCTCAAGAAATTGAATGCCATAAATATATGCACGCCAATATGTGGTCCTAGCTACTAGTTAGTATCCATTATATTTTAATTTTGAGAATTACAAATTGGTATTGATCTTCCCATATATTCAGTGATCAGAGCAAGTGTGCCAAAGCTCAATCTAGATGATGTTTTTGAGCAGAAGAATGAAATTGCAAAAGCTGTGGAAGAAGAACTTGAAAAGGTACCAGTTAGTCAAAACAGTTTATAGACTGTAACCTGTTCTACTGTTCTGGATCCCATGCCTAAAACTCAATTAACCTGTTCTGGTCTACAGGCTATGTCTGCTTATGGGTATGAGATTGTACAAACACTAATTGTTGACATAGAGCCTGATGAACATGTAAAGCGGGCAATGAATGAAATTAATGCTGGTAAGAAAGCAATTTTTCCTTGCTAATTTTGCAGGGCTTGAGTCTTTCCATAATCCTGGATATTTAAGGGATATCCAAGAAGTATCTTATACCCTGGTTATTGTGCAAATTATAAGGAATTTTGGAAAACGATTGAAATGCCTCCCTTCTTTGATCACCAAGCCAAATTATAAAACTAATCCAATCATGTAGACTAGTAAGATTGGTATGGCATGAATGTTTAGGTCAAGATCTTTTTAAGTATGCATGTAAAGCGATGGGCTCAGGCCCTGTATGCCTAGCCTTATATTTCACTGAGACTGTCCAATACTCTTCAGCTGCGAGGTTGCGGGTGGCAGCAAATGAAAAGGCAGAGGCAGAGAAAATTATACAAATCAAACGAGCTGAGGGTGAAGCCGAGTCCAAGTATCTGTCGGGTTTGGGTATTGCTCGTCAACGCCAGGCAATTGTGGATGGCCTGAGAGACAGTGTGCTAGGGTTTTCAGTCAATGTGCCAGGAACCACGGCGAAAGATGTTATGGACATGGTTCTTGTCACGCAATATTTTGATACTATGAAGGAAATCGGTGCTGCCTCTAAATCCTCCGCAGTTTTCATCCCACATGGACCTGGGGCGGTTCGTGATATAGCAACCCAGATAAGAGATGGACTACTTCAGGCATCCTCTCATCAACATTAGAACTACGGTTTGTTTTTTGTCTACACAGGATTTCTCGGTACCTGGGTTTGTCTTTTCAGAATTTGTATAGAATAATGGTTTGATATGATTTATTTCTTTGTTTCTTTATTTCTTTTCTTTCTTTGTGTGAGTGGGGATGTAAAAGAAAAATTRACTACTTTTTTTTTTTCTTTTGGCATTGTGAATACTTGGGATGCATGTAACTTCCAACCTTGATGATGGTCAGCATATTATCTACATGTTACGTGTCCAACAATATTTTCAGTCTTAGTAATTAGCAATGTTCAGGCAATTGGACCGGGCATAGAGGTTTAACTGGGGTCGAACTTGGTATATATATATATATTTTATAGGTCATATAAATTTATATTTAATATATTTTACAATTTTTAATATAGCAAATGACTAAGGTTCAAGTCTTTTAATTTATATTTTTTTAAATATGTGAATGATAAAATAATATGTACAATAAAGAGTCATTAATTAATACAATTAAAGTAAATTAATGATAATTAAATAATATATGAAAATAAGATCATGGGTTTAAGTCTTGTTAAATACGATTATTGGTTTTTTAGTTAAACTGGCTAGTTAACCGGTTTTCTAGAAAATACGATTATTGGGGTGTCACCAAGTTGGTTAGGGTCCTGGTCTATTCAATTGGTCTGATCAGCCGGTCTGGTACGGTTTGGTTTCCTAAACACTAGTAATTAGCATACTGGTCCATGCATTTTGCTTGGACCGTAGCATGGCAATCACCATCATGTTAACCAAGCCTTTTTTCACCTTAGGTCATTCATCTCATTGGGGCTTTGTGGCCTCGTCAATGTAGGGATTGGCACTCGAATCCAGTAAGGTGATAAAGGATCTATGAGAAATGTTTTCGACTGCAATTGTAGGATTGTTTGATTAGCTTTATTTTGCAGATTGGGTTAGCAGCTATGGTTGTGAAAACACCAAAGCTTTGTGGATGGCATTAAACAATCTATAGTAGGGTGTCAATCGCATTTGAAAATCTGATTTTGAATTTGAAATTCAACATAATCGAATAGAATTCGGAGATGACTTGATTCGAATTTATAAATATCTAAATTTGAATGATTATTTAATTTATATGTATGTAAAATATTTAGATATTTTATGTAATGTATATATATATATATAATATTTTAATTATATATATATTTTTTGTATAAATAAAATATTTATTATGTATATTTATTAATTACCTAAAATAATTAATCAATCAAATTTGAATCAAATTAAAGGGTGCCACTATGATATGAAAAATATATGATATTTGAAAAACAACTGACCGATAAAGTGGAAAGAATCATAAACATGGTAGCAAATAAGGTTTTTTTTTTTTTATCAAAATTCATGAGTGGGTTTTGATTGGTCAAAACTATTTTCATACCATATCTTTCCCACATCATAGATTTACCCTAATAAAAAAGATGTACATTGAAATTGGGATGATTGGCTCAAAGGAATCTACATATTAGATTTTAATCATTCTAAATTTTTTATCTTCCGAGAAACAAAATCATTCCAAATTCTTTTTTAACCACTCAACCTCATAAAATCAGCACGATCAATACTCAATGGCAAGAATCCTCAATAGATCGATCATATGGTACACAAAATCCTGCATCGCTACAGGTCTGGCAAGCCTCTCTGCTTTGTTTTATCCCAATAAGGGCCCTCGACTGGAGATGAAGCCATATAGATGAATGTTTTGGGTTCTAAATATTGATACGCTCGATATGCCGGTAGGGGCGCATCATACAGTATTGGTACTTTGTTTTACTTTTTTTTTTTCAAAACCGATTCAGGGGGGCCGGTTTAAGGCTCTTTCACCCCCTGAACCGATCAAAACCCTAATACACTCTTTATAGGGGTGTATTAGGTGCTCCTGATACGACACATATTGGCCAATACATGTCAATACTTTGAACCCTTTTGTAATGAGAGAACTACAATGCCTTCGATCCATTTTCCAAGCAAGTGGCAAACAATCGGTTCTCACAACCCTACCGGCAGACTGATGAAATAATTCCATTCTAATAATTTTTTTTTTGAAATAATTTCCTAGAAGCCCCCCAAAAAAAATTTCACCATCAATAAGTTTTTTTTTTTTCTTTTGATTGGATGTATCTTAGGCCCCATTTGGTTCACGGGAATAGGGGTTTATAATTGGAATCGAAATGAGCTATTCCGATTCTAACTATTTGATTGGATAAAATTAGAATCACATTCCCATTCCTACTGAAATAGCATTCCCCACTTGAAGGAATGATCATTCCCTGCTCCTCCTTTGAGAATGAAATCCTATTCCTGCTGATTCCATGGACCATTCCGATTCTGATTCCAGAGAATTCTGATAGTGACTACGAACCAAATAGACCCTTAGTTGCTGATTCCATGCAGGCCGGACATGCATGTACTGCAAGTACAACAAATCTTGCTAAACGCTATGTGCCAAGTTCCTTACACAGTTGTGATTCTTTCAAAATCGGGTGAAAATAGCATATAAATAAACATGACGCAAAATTCAAAGTAAAACATCTGGCTATATATACTCCATAGCCATGGCCCATGGGGAGATGGAAGAATACAGAATTAATGCCACCTAGCTAGAATTATTTATACAACCCGTGGCCACCGAATAAGCAAAAACAAAGCCTCGAAGAAAAACAAACTTGGGCTGGCGGCGAAAATCGACCCACGTTGCTCTGGTCTTCCTGCCTACCTTTTATTGCTTTCCACCATGGTCATGGTTGGTGCGATGGGAGCCTTTCTTCTTAACCCCTCCATTCCCTCTACAAAAGGATTGATCCCTCTAAGGCTTCAGAGCTAAGGCCAGTCCAACTTTTGCACTCTTTTCAATGGCCCGGGTGTCCACTTCTCCGGATATGGTGAACAATGACTTGGGCCGCCACTCATGCTGGATGAGTGCGCTAGCCTTTCCATAGCTATTCAGCCGAGCCTTCACCATGGTCAAGGGGTCCAATGCATGCTGTGTTCCAATTGTGAGAGTGTTCTCTTTGCTCGAGAAGATACGAGTCATCTCCGCACCAACAGCTGTATTGGTAAGAGGGCTAACCGTGTGATAGTAGGAAGCAGTCAGTTTATCACCTTTATCATTCCTGGATAACCAAATGATACAAATCAGTCACAGCTAGAAAACATATGTTTATTGGAATACATAACATTCGGTATTTTATTCACGCGTTCGTTCTGTTTCTAATCATCACTGGATCAGAACGAACATAGACCATATTTCCTGTGATTTCACATCCATATCAGGTTGCAGAAATGCCAAGATTTTACGCTCAACATCATTCTATCAAGGACAAACAATTTCAAGAAACAAGAAGCGGTTTTCCTCATGCCATATGGCAAAAAACAGCATGAGTCATTTCACAATTAGGATTGGTTGGTTTGTTTCCAGTGGACACAAACCACATTGTATTCAAATACAGTTAATGCACCAGAGAGGACTATAGTTTCAGTTTTGCCATACCCAGAAAAGCATTGGGGTTCCACCTTTCTTAAAACAAGTTTCAACCGAGTAGCCAGAAGGAGAGGCAAAATGAAGATAGAAAAGGAGAAAGCTCACAAGGTCAAAGAAGCAATGAGATCAGCATTGGAAAAGCTTAACCCAGCATTGTATTTAACGAATTTTCCAGTTGAGGTGTCAAAGGAAAGGTCAGTCCCGATGGAGGCAGCACTTGTTCCAACCACACCTGAGAAGTTAACTATTGGGCTTGCAGTTAACCCAATGCTCGTGCTGATGCCTGCATGGTCATGCAAGTACTGCAGTTCCGCCTGTTTAATAACCACCAAACTTCAAATTTACATCACACTGCAGCCTCAAATGCATTAAATATGAATAGTAGTTAAATATTACAAATTTGCAGTATACACTATTGTGTGCCACTGTCAGATACAACGGAGCCACAAAATAGATTGCAACTTTTGTTTAGCATTCTGTACTTGTCAAAAAAATGTGAAAGAAAATAGGCCCAAATCCATGTAAGGCCAAAACATCATAACTTGTCTGTTAACTGTACCTTGAAGTGAAAGAGTATACAAGTGTTGCCTAGAAACGCTGATACAAGAACTAATAATTAAAGGATAAATAATTCCTCACCTTGCCTGACTTTTGATCAGGAACAACAAAGCTAACGATAGTTTTGAGTCCAGGTGCAGGTTCATTAACAGTAATGGTTGTAAAAACCTGGCAATATTATCATGAGAAAAAAAGGAAAAGCTAAGTTAAATCATCAGATTAATTATTGTAAAAAATTACAACTCAATTACTAATTGGGTTCCAATGTGCTGTTGATATGACATGGCACATCAAAGAAAATAATTGCCTTAATATAAATTGAGAGTTGCATCTTTGATATTAAAAGAGTTAATGAAAAACCAGTGATAAAATTTTTCATTGATGTACGGGACAACAGAAAAAAGAGCAGTAGAACTTATAGTAATTTCCGCAAAAAATTACTTTCCTTCAGCGATGACCTAGTTTTCAGCCTGAGATCTTAATACTAATTATTTCGATGTTTTTTTATTGATACAAATTACTTCAATTTTTTTAAGAGTCTATGGAATTACCTCAGCACAAGTCAAGATTTAGTTTCACTGGTACGGCCTGAACTATTTGGGCATGGACATAATAACTACCACCTTTAAGGGGGATCCACATCCACTATGTGAAAGCATAAAGGGGATCCACATCCACCAAGTGGTAAAAGTATAAGCAAAATCGACCGCTCATTAACTTCAATTTTCAAAAGAATATGAAAAAAGCAGTATAAACTATAGACTCAAAAAGCAGCATAGTTGCATACTTTATTATTCCATGTTCCCAAATTAAAGTTTGTTCCAGAAGGTGTGCATCATCTACATATCAAGCAGATTATGGATATGTAACCATACAATTAACAATCATGGATATGAATGAACAAAAACTTATAAAAGAATTTAATTAAGAAATGCTTAAATGGATTACATTGGAATTAGTGTCCACTTTGACATCAGTTGTGATGTTCTTGTTCTTCAGTTGAGTATTGACATCAGCCAAAAACAACTCCCCTTTCTTTAGTCCCGTTGAAGTAATAGCCTACAATGTGAATACCAAAAAGGAATATAGTGACCACATGAGCAAAATAAAGTACATATACGTGACAAAAAAGGTAGGGCACAGAACATAAGACACAAAACAGGGTAGTTTCTTCACTAAACAAAATAAACAGAGATTGTATTTCCAGGATAGCAATGTACAAATGTATGTTATATAGTGGAAACCAATTAATCTATTTTAAGCACTATCATGAGGATTTGTTGGTCTCCCCTCTGTAATAAATCTAACACTCCAAACAAAACACATAACGAAAACTTATCATGTTTAAAAGGGCACAAGTGGAGCAAATAATGATGAAAGATCTACTAATCAGTGATTTGCATTAAAACCATAGACGACCACTCTCTAAAAATAAACAAATAAGAGAGAGACACGAGAGCAAAGTATAGTTCTTCTCAACCATCTAACACATAACCAAGTTCACATTACAGCTACTCAACCATGAGCATTGCAGATGAAAAACAGAAAAAGTGAGGTCATAAATAAATAATAATAAACTCAGGCTTTTTGATTTGCAAACTGTCATTTGGCATCTAATAATTTATAATTCTAAAACTTGACATAAAATTAAGAATTATGTGCAAGAGAAAAAGAAAGAAAGAACTTAACAGTTCCTGAACAGTTTCTCTGACTCAAAATCACAACCAAGGAAGGTGGAGGAGGAAGCAAAAGTTCTTTTACCAAGCTTTGCAAACAACAACCCTCAGCGTCTAATGATCGGATCATTCACTAATAAAAACAAAAATTCCTCTATCCCAGCCTAAGCATAACAAGAAAATGACAAATGATATTATAGAAACAAGAGAATAGTAAAAAAGCGAAACATCCTTTATTCCTTTAACAATCACATCCATGTGACTTCCTTGAATCTTTTGAAACCGAGACATAGAAACACAATGTTTAGCGCGAACCAAAATCCTCCCAGAAAATCCCTCATATATGGAACAGGCATTGCTATATGTTGCAAAAGCAACAAAAACAGCATTCTCTAGAATATATCAAGCGGAAATACGGGGAAAAAACTTACGCAGAGAAAAAATTAACAACAAGATGTGTAACTTTATTGATCCATTAAAGGTGACGATTAAAAAATTCATATCAATGCTCGAGACAAACATTAGAAAAATACAGAGTAGAAACCGTGAAATATAGAAATCTTATTTGAAAGGACATACAAGCAAGGGAAAAAATGGCAATATAAATTTGCAATTCTGCGCAAGTTATCAACCTCAGACCGAATTTCATTTCCGGAGCATATTAATTGGAGAAATGAATAAGTTGAATGGATCAATCATCCGACCATATAAATTAGAATGGATAATAAAATTGAATAAAGAAATCTTAGTTTTGTTAATCCATTAAACCAACGTACAACTCCAGCGGAAGTGAAAGTAGTCAGTGTGAATTTGTGGTCGTTCTGGTAATCCTTGTAAAGAAGATCTGCAGCCAAAATAAGATGCGAAAAATTTTGAGAATGGAAAATAGAAAACAGACTAGAAGCAGAAAATAAATGAGAAACGTAGAGAACAGATGTAAACCTCTGGCCTTTTTGCCGATGTCGGAATAGAGTCCGGGACCCTTCACCATCTTCTCGGCGATCGAAGAGAGATTGTAACAGAGAAACGGAGAGAGATGGAAAAAATGGAAAAAAAAAAAAAAAAGAAAACAGGGAGCCTACTTGGTCGTCAGACAAGAAGCAAACCGATCATGAGATTAGAGATGGGGAAATTAAAAAGAAAACCCTAAAAATTCGGCATCCTATTTTCTGGAAAATGCACACCGTCCGATCGAGTGAGATGGAGCCTACTTGTCCGATTGATTGAATTTTTTCATTTTGGTAAATAGAAAATGGCGCAAAGTTTCGATGTATCAGACTTTTCTCTTTTCTCTTATATTGGATAATTCAGGGTTGGGCCGGGAATAGGCCCATCGCACAAAATTTTGGGCTTTGATTTTTAATTCGAATATTCGAATATATGTAATGAATCTCATCCATGGGTTCGAGTATGATACCGGGAACACAGGTAACCAGATCAACCGAATATATGTAATGAATCTCATTCAGGTTTATGGTCAGATTCATCTCGTTATTGGTTCCGGGTGAAACTGAAGGTGGACGGTCCAGGGGTGTTGCCGGCGAAGGGGGATGAGACGTGAGAGGAGCTAAAAACACAGAAATTGGAAAGGGAGAAGATCAAAATCAAATCTGCAATTCCCATTATCCACTACCTCGAAAAGACAGAAAGGAAAACTTATGATTCACATTCGGGCCTCGTACCTTAGCGCAGTCTGATTGTGTCGTTGTTCTTCATTGCTCTCTCGTCTGCAAGTAGGTACGTCTCTTTTATTCTACCTGTGCTTTTTTAAGGGAAAAACGATATAAAAAAGGGTCATATCATATTTCTTATAATCGTCTCTAATGTTCTTTCCCTTAAAAACTCGCCTTTGATACACATTGTATTCGTCACAGATCTATTTCAATGGTTATGAATCATTTGGTGTTTGAGTGACTGAGAAGTAGAAAGGACACGAAATCAGGAATTTGTTTTTTCTTTTTCTTTTTCCTTTATTGAGTTGACTTGTAAAATTTCATTATAGAACAGTAATCTTTTATTCTCTTTGATCAACTATAGTAATTAGTAAATAGTTGAATTGATAGAAAGCTACTAGATTTAAATGTATTTATGAGAGTGAGCAGTTAAATTGTGGGGAAAGCGTAGGGATGTTTGATTGTACAGAGTTGGGAAAACAACAATAATCTGGTTAAAGGGCTAGCGTATTAGAGGCTCTTAGCACAAATGCCAGTGGAGACAACAAAAGAAGGGGACAAAAGCGAAACTTTTAAGCCAAGCTACTTTATTATTTGTGATCAAAATGATCCATTGGCTGAAATTCATAATAGAAAGAGAACACCCTTACACCCAAGAGTTGGGGAAAGGGACACAAACAGTTTATCAGACAACAATACAAAGAGAGAGAGAGAGAGAGAGAGAGAGAGAGAAAGAGAGAGAATTATGATTACCCCTGAATAGAAGATCTTAGGGTCCACCTGAACGAGCTGTTTATTCTCGAATCCAAGGATTTGGCCTCTCTAATAAAGCTTCTAAGCTATCGTGGAGCTCGGAGCCCTTCAGTGAGATAGCATCTACTCTACCACAATAACCTGAGAGCATCCTTCAACTTGCAATCCTTTCCAACCTGAGGCAAAACACACTAGTCCTTGAACAAGTTATGATATCTCTGCTCTCAGTGACTCTCCTTTGCCCTTTTCATCCTGAGAAGATCAATAGTATATCATCACTAATGTCTCTATAAGACCCAAATCTCCATTCATACTGATGGCCCCCAATTTCCCATAGAACATTCATCAAATATTAGTTTCATAGTACCATGGTGAGGGAAACCTGCTGTTGTGACTTTCTTTTTATGGCATTATTAACCAAAATTTGTCATCTTAGCAAGAAATCCCAATGAGCTACCCGTATAATGATTGTGTCAATGATAGCTTGAGGCTCCTCCATCTTTATATGATTATGTCATTAAGAACTTTTGCATCTTGTCATCTTGTCCTCCCAAATGTTCTAATACATTGCTGGCCTAGTTCATTTCCAGTATATATAATCTGCTGAAATAAGCGATTTCCATCAATCATACAATTTTTTTTATTTAATGACATGGCTTCAAATGACATAACTATTCAGAAAATGATAGTTGTTTGGCCAGCTATGTTGTATGGAGTGAAGTATTGAGCTGTCAAGAAACAACATATCTAGAAAATGAATGTTGTAGAAATGCGAATGCTAAGATGGATGGGTGGAAAAATTAGAAAGGATAGGATTTGGAACGAAGTTATCTGTAGGAACATATGAGTAGCTTCCTTAGGTGATGAAATGAGAGAGAGTAGACTAAGATGGTTTGGGCATGTGCATAGAAGACCACCAACTGTACCAGTTAGAACAAGTGATTTATTACACATTGAAGGGGCTAGAAGTAGTAAGAAATGATTTAAGCACTAATAATTTAACAGTGGATATGACTTTAAATACAGTGGATTGGTGAAATAGGACTCATGTAGCCAACCCCATATAGTTGTGATAAGGCATGGATGATATAGATGATATGGAATGTGTTCTTTGAACTTTGAACAAAAAAAAAAAAGATTTTGAGTTGAATCACATATTATACGATGAGGATCTTGGGTACATTACTGACATCCAAGGAATTTAGTCATTGACAAAGGAGCCTTGTGGTAGTTCTGAAGTCTTACCCACCCATGTGAGGTTATAATTTTATGGAAGATCCTCAGGTAACCCCAGGCCGACCCGAGTTGCAGGAATTTCCATTAATGTGAGTGAAAGGATGAAAGAATTATTAGTTTCTAATTACCCATCCTATTGGAGATGCCAACTCTACTAAGGTCAAGGTCTTGTTTCTCCTCATCAAAGTCTGGTTTCCAAGACATTACATCTCTCCTCCTTGGCCATCTATGGAATCTCATCCATTACCTCTATGAGATTTCAATAATTGTCCTTAGTGTAAGTTAAAAATAGATGGACTACCAGAGATTGGACATGTTAATGTGATAACTGATAGTTTTGTAACATTGGAGGTGGAAAAGGACATTTGTGTGTACTGATAGCATGCCAAATTAAGTATTCAATTGGGGATGCTGTTACTTTTTTAAAGTTTAAATGGATTGGCTTGACATGTTCCAATAGTCCTAGGGCTTTTAGCATATTTGGTTTAGAACATAACAACATGGCTTAAAATGTCCCTAATTTCCCTAATATTTCCACGACATATTTCCATTTCCATGGGTAGTGACACGAAATTTTATTGGAATCGACATTTCCCCAATGAACACTACCAGAATTATGTGGAGTACAAGAGATAGTTTCCACAACATATTTCCATTTCCACTTCCATGGGTAATGACATGAAGTTTTACTAGAATCGACACATCCCCTAGTGAACACTACCAGTAGTACTATGTGGAGTACAAGAGATAGTGTTATAACATAAGTTGGTGACAATATTGTAAACATGTGAAGTAACAAGTTGTTGTCCACCTAACTTACATGGTGACACCTTCGAGCTAGCTCAATATTCATTTCAAACATGAAGTTAAATATTAGTTTTTTGTTTGTGTAGTAGATTATTTGGTTGATCTATTACAACCATGTACATTTTCTATGAGTTCAAATTTTGCTTTAACTCATTCTATCATGAAGCTCTGAATGGTTTACAGGGCAACTTCAGAACATATTCTTTTGTCTATAACCTTAGTTTCTTAGCTTTGTTTAGTGATTTGGAACAAGATAATAATTTAAAAAGGTGTGCCTATGCTTCTTATATCACTTCATAAAATATCATTATATATTTTGCATATTTTACAATGTTTCCACCATGTCTATAATTTTTACAATATTTCCATACGATATTTCTGACATTTCCGACATGTTTCTTATATTTGGATGACCAACATTTCCACCGACATCGACATTTTAAACCTTGCATAACAATTGGTATCAGAGCCTACCCCATGTATGGAGTTTGAATCATGGAAACGGATACCTAGGAAAAGAATTGCTACCTGTAACAGAGTGAGAGACACCAAAGGGAAAGGACTACCCATTGCCAGCGTGAGAGCCACTGGGATGTTGGCTGCAGAAGTGTGGTGAAATGTTGCAGTCCTAAAGGTTTAAATGGCTTGGCTTGACACATTACAGTTAGTTAAGTATGTAATAGATGTAGTTTTTAGTGCATATATTGTATATCATAGGACATCCTTTTATGTGCATATCTCTCTTTACTATCAAGGAAATTTATTGTTACTATCTCAAAGGGGAGATATATTTGCTTTTATTTTAAGTAGTGTTTGTATATTGCCATGTTGAGTTGGTCTTTGGGCATCAAATGGGTGAGACATCATTGTCTGGATGCTTCTACTGCACAGATAGGAAGAAGAAAAACCATAACACTTTGACTGTTGGTTTGGCGGTGGTCCTATTGATCAGGGCTACTTGACTAAGGCAGAAGTCATGGATCTTTTTGTTTGACTTGGAAGGTCTATCTCATTAAGACTCTTCTTGCTACTTATTGAAAGCTCTACCAACGTCATTGGATGACACTGTTTTGAGTGGGGTACTGAAGGAGATTAGCATTATATTTGATGATTTGGCCAAGTCTGAAGGATTGAGATGTATACTGTGTCCTCCCTAACCTCATAGAGCTTGAAAATCTATAAATTCAAATAGTTTTTAATGGGATCCTAGTTCTTCTGTTTGATGCCCGTCTTATTCATAATGCTTGTGCTTTGCTATATTTTTTATACATTCTCTGTTTTTCTCAATATTTAATCTCCAAGGTCTTCCCTTTGGATGCTGTAAAACACCTAGTTGGAGGGAAGTACTTAGGTTAATGCACATATGAATAATGTGAGAATTACATATATTCACCTTCATTCCATATCCAATAAGTGAAAAGAAAAACATGTTTACAAATGTAAATTGAAGGAGAAAAATGTTCTCATATTTTGGTGATTAACTTTTTTCTAGATGGTTCCTTATTGTTTTATTTTTTAATGATTTATTTTACAGATTGAAATTGATGAGCTGAATAGAAATATAGAATGGGGAACTTTTCAATTCCAGCAGTCTGTCTTTCAAGCTTTATCTTACTGCTTCATTCCTCTCATCTGTGAATATTCAAGTGGTCATGCTCTGAATTTGTTAGACTTCTTTTCAGGCAGTGATACACAGAGCCCATGGAGTTGAGGGAGGAAAAGAAGAATGTGGTACTTGGACATATAACTTGTTAAGACTGAGCATCAAAAGGGAAATTCATCCCCATCTACCACATTTTCCATGTGAGGTTTGGACAGCTAGCTTCCCCGTGGAACTTTTGTAATTTTCTTCTCTCCATCCTCTCTGAATTTTTCTACCAAAAAAAAAAAGTCCTCACTGAATTCAATTTCCATAAAACACACTAGAATGAGAATGAGCATAAAGAACAAAACACAATAGTTGGTAAAAAAATGATTAGACCATTAAAAAAATGGTTGACAATGTAAATTTGTTATTATTACTGACAGAATGATATAAATTTTATCATTGTTTTGTTTATATGACAAATACCTTGTAGCTCGCTGTAAAAATCTTTGGGAAGATTGAAATGACATTTCTTTTATCCATTTTAATAAGAAACATTTAAATTTGTTGTATCGGATTCTTTTTCTTCTGCCATGTTAACTGGTTTCTTTGGCTTTATTGATGTTATAACTTTGTGGGTATCTCAACCAAAATTGTTGGGATCTTTCAAGGATATTGGTATCCCTATATAGTATCTCCATAATTCTTTTACTGTGCCTTAGAAATATTAGAGCAGATATCTATGTGAAAAGATGTTACTTTTTGAGTCAATTGCTTTTGGGTTGGGGTAGTAAGGAATGATTTAAGGGCTCATAATTTAACAATGGAAGGACACTTAACAGAACAAAATGGCAAAACAGGATTCTTGTAGCTGACCCATATAATTGGGACAAAGCGTAGATGATGATGATTAAACAACATAATGGGCCATCATATGATAAAAGTGCCATTATTAAGCATTTAATGATATCGGGGTAATAATGGTTATTGGCAATCAGTGGGCGAGAAAGTTCCAGAAGAAGGAAGTAAAACTTAAATAGAGTTTTACTTTTTTTTTTCTCAAAAAAAAAAAAGTAAAAACTTAAATGGAGTTGCAAACTATGATAATAGTTTCTACTATAAGATGACCATATCTTGTTCCTGTTGAATGCTTCTTCTGTAAGTCCAATTAAGGGTTTTGTTTTAGCACTAACATATGAGTTGCCTATCTAAGTAATTTTTTCACCTTTGCATTACTAGGAATTTGATCATAACTAGGTACTGATTATGGATAGTATATGAAAATGGAAAAGAAAAATGATTAAAATGGACTTGCACCTTTGGTTTACCACTATTGCCAAAATTTTGAAAGGATTAAATAGTGAGTACATTCCATTACATGAATTGTGTTATAATTAGGTCTTGTATTATGACAACAGATAAAGTTGTGAATTCAGTCTTACATAGTGATTGCATTTGCTCTTGGTGTAAGTTCTTATTACATTTCAAAGGAGGTTGAATAGAATAAATATTATTTCCCAATCCATCTTGAGCCCTTGTGACCTTTACCATGGTTCTGGATTCTTGTTTGTTGCATGAAGACACACATCCATTTACAACCCTAGCAGGAAGTAGTAGGCCAAAGCTATTGGAAGCGCAATAAGCATGCCAAAGATAACCCTACAACCAGAAGAAAAGCTGATATTAGGACCCAATTGAGCATTATATTAAGGTTTAGACCATTTATAGAAACATTGATTACCCAGTGCTCAATATGTCTGGATGTACATTATACTCTTTAGCAAACACAAATGGAACAATTCCTTGAGGAAGAGCTGCCTGCATTACAAGGCGCATTATTTAGCCTCCTATCTTGATCTAGGTAATGAATTGCAGATAAGTAGATAGAAAAAAGAAATGGGTTATAAAAACTATACACCTGTACAATTGCCACCTTAAACAATATGCTTTTCAATCCAATAGCATAGGAGGAGACTACCATTAGGGCAGGTCCTACCAGGAACTTGATTCCCATGGCTAAGGCTGCCTTCCTAGTTCCACATGCAATTATGCTAGGCTGTGAGGCCATGAAAAGACCTATCAGGTATCACAAAATGAAAAATTAGAAACAAACTTCTGTATTTGACATTTCTTTCACAATTTTAAGTACTATCTAGTGCCTGGTTCTCACCTAAGCTGAACATTGCCATGCCAAGTCCTCCATCTGACAATATTGATATTGAGTTGTTAACAATTAGCGGCAGTTTAACTCTCCACCTGCAACAAGTTTAATGCTATCACTTTGATCACTTGCTAGCTTTAAATGGAACCAGAAGGATTACGAAAGAGTGACATCTTGAATGTTTCTCCTGCAACCTCACCTAAAACTGATGACTGCCCAAATAAGACCAATCAAAGTTGCATGAGTGTTGGGATTCCTCACGAGCTTCCTCCCCACAGTCATGAGAATAAGCTTGGTGTTCATTTTTCTCAGGGTTCTGGCCTTTGCTTCCTCACCTACCGCTTTTGGTTGTGCTTCCTGTGGGGCCTCCAGTTCCCCTTAAAAACAGACAAAGTACCAAGTATCTGGAATAAGTCAAAGCAGATCACCTGAAAGCTAATACAAATAGAAAAGTTGTGAAATGCACATTATATAATAGCTATAGTTTAGCGGTTATGGCTGAGTGCATAAATATCTAATAATACATAGACATGTCTGTTGATATTATAACAAGTTTTTTGAAGCATATATGTTGTGATCCTTGGATATATCATGAGCATAGTAGTAAATTGATATATGCATTATATGGATGCAAACATGGAATGGTGTGAGATCCATATTTGCAGGGTCCCAGATAGGGGATCCCTGCACAAACTCAACCCGGTTAGATGATTGCTGTAACCATAAAGGATTGAGTCAACTCAGCCAAGTATTGATATTCCAAGTAAGATAATGTCAGTGGCTGTTATTTGGGGAAGGTGAGGATGAATGAAAGCTTGTAGTCAATTTAATAATATTCAGAACCATAGTCCTCTGAAAATACAAATCTGAAAGACGACCTACCTGTGACTTCTAAGGGAGGAGTTTCAGAGGCTGTCTCAGCAGCTCTAAACTCAAACAGAAACAGCAATAGATTGTACCAGACCAAACTCTGCATGACAACTATCTGGGAGAGAAGTGCCGATGCTTTATTCCCGTACATGGCTCTCAACAATGGAATTCCCACAATCAAGGTGTTGGGTAAAGTTGACAAAGACAAACCAGTTATAACCCAATCTGTGTGTCCCCTGGAGCTAATTTTGGCAAGAATTACCAATAGAAGGAAGGCAAGCAGTTTCTGGAGGCCATCTGCCAATATGAGTTTCAGGTCCATCTGGTAGGGATTGTTGGCAGAGATCACACTGAAGGAGAGGAGCGGGATAGAGAATTTTGCTACAAACTTGTTAATGCCAGAGCATTGATCTGCTGAGAAGAGCTTCCACCATTTTAAAGATACGTAGGCTAAGATCATGGCAAAGTACAAAGGGATTGTAGCAGCCAAGACATGGTAAACATCTAACAGGGAGATCATGTTGGCTGCTGCTGCTGTAGGAGGAGAATGAAACCACGAGGGCCTTGGTTATTTCTATTGCGTCTCTGTTCCATAGATGGCTTTGTTGGCTTGTGAAAAGAAAAGGCGGGACTGGCACCAAACTTTATTAACAATGAAAATGTCTCTAATGCCCAGAATGACCTTTGTCTTGGAATATTTTTTTTTTCTTATGCTTCTAATTATTGTTGAAAATAATTTCTGCTTTCTGCCTTATTACTTCTATCCTAAAAACAAGGAATATAGAGGTAGTTATTGTATTACCTATAGGAAGGAGTTTATTATTAAAGTTAACTGAAAGGCAAGGGTATTCTTGTCATCTTAAGTCCAAAGTTAGCTTTTCAGTCTTCTTCTTATTTTATTTTCTACTGCTTATTTCCTTGTTCTTCTTTGGCAAAATGCAGAGCTATTGAAACCTAAGCTAATCTCAGTTGTAGGCTTTGAGCTCATATACATAACCTTTTTGACTATGATCACCCTCCCCCCCATTTTTTACTCGTTGCTTGGGCTCTTTATCACTAGGGAATCAGTAGCATAGGATATTTCGGTAATTCCATTGGAAATAAAAAATGGGTTAATTTGAGGTTCAGTTTGATCCATTCATTTTGGAAAATGACCAAGATATCCATGGTTCCTGATTGAAATGGTATTGTGCACTGAGCGTATTGAGTATTAATTACTTGCTGAGAAAACAAAAAATTGGGGAAGGCAAAGAATAAAGAAGTGAATTGCGTGGGAAGTAACTGAAGTAAAGACTTAATAACAGCAGGGAAGGAAGAATTTTGCTGTATTTGGTCAAAAGTGGGAGAATAAGTGTAGTGGCGAATTTGCTTTTAAAATGTGAAATTTTGCCATTAACACGGCCACGTCTCTTTCCCCACGTTCTCTCTGTCTGGGGCGGAAAGATCTCATCCGTTGGATGCTTTGCACTCTCTACGATATCTGTAACTGCTTTCTGATATATTTTTTTTTTTTTGGTGGAAGAACCTTTTAAAAAGTTTTATTTATTGGTCGGTTAACATTGTCATTTGGTGGTACTGGTGATCCGCGTAGATGATCCCAGATGGACATAATTTTAACCAATCATCGACCCTAAGTATTGAACAAATGTGGGCCCGGATTCAGCCTGAAAAATTCTGGCTGATCTATAGATGGTCATGGTACTGATGTGGGCTTGAGTATTTTTTGATTGAGATCAGCTTAGGCCCAATCAAGTTGCCTGGTCCAGCCCATCTCAATCAAATGAAGTTTGGACTTTGGATAGAAACATCCATTCGGCTATTCCAAAAGCCTGGCTTTTGGGGGACAAGCATGTGACATATGTTGTCTTTGCAACATATTCTATTCTGTGTTCAGAAAAAGGAGTCATGATGGATCACCATTGGCTCTGGGATTGTCGCTGTAGACAGTGGTAGAGTTGCAATTTGTGGTTCCATCTGCTGCAGATGGAACAGACAAATGGTGAACATAGTTTACGCTACTTGCCCATCAGCAGTTGTGGCTCAACTTTGTAATATATGCTTATGCTGACAGCTCAGTAGTATGTGCCAACATTTGATCCTGATGCTACCTTTCTGGACAAGGGATGGCCTAAAGATAAAGGTAGTCTTCTATGCTTTCTCAGTTTTAAAAAATTTCCTAACTATATATGCTTCTTGTTTTGGGCACTTAAGATTAAGATTAAGCTATAGACTAGAGCTCTACTTCTTTTGGGTCATGTCCAACTGGTTTAGTTTTGATCTTACATAAATAGAATAGAGCTGAATCCTAGGGGATTGATTTGGGCAAATCCCATTTTTGACAAAGGGAGAGCAGTACACCCTACTGTCTTATTATTCTGATTTTGAACCAATTAAATATTTTAATATGTATATTGAATTATTAATAAACAGAAATATGGGGCATGCTTAAATATTGACCTAAACCGAAAGCCAAATAAAAGGAAGGAAAAGAGAAAAGGAAAGGAAAGTAACAGGAATAGCAAAATAGAGGACAGATCTTCTGGTTGAGTGATGAAGGAATCTTCAACTTGGCAACTTTGTTGAAGCTCTAAAAGAATCCCATGTCTTTTTTATTTGACCTTTGCGATGGTGTACTAAATTTTGCCACATTTCAAGTCTACTTTATAAAGTTGTGATGATGATGATGATATCTTGGTATAAGAAGCATGAACTTCACAACACCAGGGGAATAGGGGTTATCGGGGTTGAACGAGCCCTAAATGAGAAAGAAGACTGATGGATCTCCTCTCCATCCCACGACAGGATGAACATTCATGCACTAATCTCATCTCATGGGAGATTAATGCATCCTTCGGAAGCCGTGAATGAACGGCACGGTGATGCCATAATCTTAATGATGGCTTTCTATATCCATAATCAACTATTTGATTTTAATCTATTGCATGGGCCTGCTAATTACTCATGGAATATTCCCATACAAAGTTGAGCATTGGGCTGATGTGGATTGAACAGAGAACACGTGGCTAATCCAAAAGCTTCTTTACTCCGGTGAATGTTTTCATTGACTTCAAATTCTTATATGCCGTACTCCTTTATAGGCATCTCAACTCCTTATATACAGTTTGATATGAGGCTGAGCGCAAAGTTCAGTTTAACTTTATAAGATAAGCTTAAAGTTTATTTCCGGTTGATTCATTTGAAGCTAGCTTGTTTAAAAGCTATGTAATGTATATTTTTGGTATGATTAATTTATGCATATAATAAATCTAAGAGTTCAACCACGGTTCACAATTTGGTACGTTAGTTGGTTTGTTTCAGTGGTGATGGGGATTTGAGTCCTAATGGTGTGTGATCTGGTGTTTTTTATTGGCGGATAGCTTGGATGCTGGATTAAGTAGGTCGCCTAGTTGAGTTGTAAAAGAAGAGATCAAAGTGTCTAGATTGCTTGACCTGAGGTGGGCACTTCCATGCTTAAGTCAGGGAAAAGTGTTGAGAGAGCTAAAAAGCGAGAGAGTTAGAGAGCTGTGAATGCTAAATCACGTATACTTTCTGAGGTTGGAGGTGAGGCCCTTATATAGGCTGCCGTAAACCTCACGAAACGCGTCGGGATCCCTAGCTCGTATAGTTTGGAGGTGGTTTCACGCCTGAAGATGGACTCTGTGCAAGCAGGTAATGTCTATCCAATACCATCCAAAATGGGTGGGGTGATAACTAGTTATTCCAACGTGGTGTCGTGATCCTAGGGAATTTGGAGGCGATTGACCACTTAAGGGGGAGGTCGCTTGGCACGTCAAGCAAATCACTAACTGGGGCCAGGGCGGTTTGGTGGAAGCAGGTCACCTCTTACACCGACTTGAGGTCCTACCTAGATGTTCGCAGTTCGGCCTACCAGGGTGGTGCCAAGATCGTTGATGTAGTTGTGAAGTGTTTGAGGTAGTTTGCTTACGTGGTGTCGAGGTATGATCTAGTTGTTCTGCGATGCCACATGTCAGGATGTCATTGGAGGACCAAATTACCCCTCATTAAGTCCCGTTATCATCGATTTTGAAGGAGAGTTAATGTGTGATGTTGTGCTATTCTAAAAAGAAACAAAAAAGAATTACACGACCCAAATAGGCATGAATATAAATACAAAAAAAAAAAAAAACACGCGGTACTTGATAATATTTGTGCATTAAATCAAGATTTTAACATATCAAAATCATGTTAAAATCTGCTTACATTTTATTGATATACTTTTTATAAAGTGTACTTTTACAGCAGCGGGTGCACTACAGATTTTGTGAGGGAGAGGAAGACACCACTATCAAGTTCAAAACTACAGCAGCGGCTATTGTTGAGGAAAAACCTTCTATCAAGTTCAAAACTACAAAATTGGGAGTTGAGGATTTATGCTGCAGTTTTTGTGAGGGAGAGGAAGACACCACTCACTTGTTCATCCATTGTGATTTTGGTCAAGCAAATTTGGCTCACCCGTAACCCTACTGTACCCAAGCCAATTGAAGATGAAGACATTTCTGATTGGTGGAATCATGCGAGAAGAGTGGGAAATATTAACAGGAAAGGTTTACTCTAGAAAACGCAAGTATGATTCTTTGGCATATATGGAAGAATAGAAATAGTAAAATCTTTGAAAATAAAAGCATTCCACCACCTTTTTTAATAAAAAAGGCCAGATATTTGGAGCTTTTGCAGTTTCATCATGCTTCAGATATCCTCACCTAGTCCCATGGTCAAGTTCGTTGGAAGCCTCCAGATTGTGGAAAAATTAAAATCAACTTTGTTGAGTTGAGAAGAGCTGTTGGCTGATGTGCAGTTGGTATTATTTAGGGGGCATCCTTTTTTTGGATTTTGAGAGGGGGGAAAATTGGTTCAAATTCTCATTGATCAAAAATCCCATGTTCTTTTTCAGACTTAAGTGGGGACCAGGGAAAGTTTATTTACCTGAGTATCACTTACCTCCTAGGTGGGTAAATAACTTTTTCACCTTGGGGGAAAGTTGTCAATACTTAAATGGGACAAAAATGCCCCTTGTAATAATGTACTTTTATGGCTAAAATGGTCATTGTCTTGTCTGCATGGGAAATAAAAGAACATGGGTAAATGCACTTACCCAGATAAGTAACTTACCAAAAAGCGAACGAGACCTTAAAATAATGTCTAACCAAACAACAAAAACAAGAAACATTTAAAATGAAAAAAGTTTAAAGTAAGGTTATACAAATAAACATTTAAAATTAATAAATAGACCATTTATAAATGCCAATAAAACCAAACAGATACTAAAAATCAACTTAGATTTATTTTTATGATGTGGGGGGTCCTGCTACCCCTTTAGCCATATATTTCCAATCTATCATAAAAAAAAAGGAAAATAAAAAACAAGAAAAAGATTTTGCCAATATCTAAATCATGTGGATTGCTTTTAAGTTTTAATAGTAATAGGTATGTATTAGCTGTGGTCATATTATGACAATTTTCCAAATATATGTAATAATTTATATAAATGCAAAATCTAGACCCAAACCTAAAAATTGGTAGGCTAAAAATGATACCCCTACTTCAGGCTTATCAGTTATCAAATGCTCATGCGGAACAGGGATTAGTTCATGAGCCTGGGCCAAACTGGGTTAAGGCCCCTTAGCTTAGCTGGTTTACATTCGTAGTTGATTGTTGGTGTGGGACCAACATGCGTGTGATAATGGATTTTACTTTTTTCTCTTTTTTTTGTGAGAATCATTTCAAAATGTTCTGAAAGATGAAAGAGGCACTTGGAGACCCTCATGTTGTTGTTAAGGTTGCTAGATTTGAAAATTCTCAAACTATATATAGCTCTGGGTTTTGGTTTAGGCCCATTGCAAACCCA